TTATGTACTAGTTTTACGTGTTTTTAAAATATGCATAAATGAATATGAATAGTATACTACATATTCTACTTTTTCCATTTATCTTTATGCTTTTGAGAATTACCTATATTGATACATGTGTATCTTGTTTTTCATTCTCACTGCCATAGTATAATATTCCATTTTATGAATAAACTATTTTTGTTTATTCATTCTTCTACTGATGAATATTTCACTTATTTTCCTTCTTTGACTATGATAAATAATACTATAATGAGCATCTTAGTAGATATCTCCTTTGGCACATTTTTAAGTATTTTTTCTGGATGACATACCTGGGAGTAGTTATATCAGTTTACATTTCCAGCAATATGGTGCAAGAGTTTCTCACTGTTCTCAGAAGCACTTGGTATTAACAGGTTTTTAAAATTTTGCCTGCTAAAAGGTGACTGCTCTGTACATCTTCAAAAATGTTGGTATCATGGAAGACAAAGGCCAAAGAATTGTTCCAGATTAAAGGAGACTAAAGATAAGTAACATCGGAAAGCAAAATTGTTCCTCAGTTAGAAAAACGAGACCAAATATGGACTATGTATTTAACAGTTCTTGACCCCATGTTAATTTTTTTAAAGTTTGATCACTGTAGCATGGTTATATAAGAGAATATTCTCGTTCTTTGGAAACACAAGTATTTAGGGATAAAGGGACATGATGTCTGAAAATTACTTTCAAATGCCTTTGCAATATAACAATAATATAGACAGATAAAGCAATTACAGTAACTTTTTCACACTGGTGAATCTAGGTGAAGAGTATATGTAAATTCATTTTACTTTCAATTCATCTGTAGATTTGAAATTTTTTCAGAAGAAAAAACTCATAGGTGTACAAGTATTCATTATTGTAATTTACTCTTCTCTGATTACTAGTGAGATTGAACATCTTTTTATATGTTTGTCATTCAGATTTCCTTTTTTGGTGAATTTAAATTCCTTTTCCTAATTCTGCTTAGCTATATGTCTTTTCCTTATTGACTTCTCAAAATTCTATAATATTCTTCATCCCAATTCTTTGTTGGTATGTTTTGCAAACAACTTCTCTCACTCTTTGGTTTGTCTTTTAACTTTGGATAATGGGTTCATTAAGGAGTCTCAGTCCATGAATGTACAAAACGACTTTTTTTTCAATATTTTTCCACCAACTGCCTTACTTTGGATTGTTCTTTTCTATTGGGTGGAGGATCCCTTTATAAATCTTGTCAAGACTCCATAACTTTAAAAAGTCTCTTTTTTTGCAAATAGGCAGTTTTTTTTAAAACCATGAATCTCCAAATCAAATCTAAAGCTCTTCTCCTTACTCCTAGAACAAGCTAAACCTTTCCACGTCTTTAGTGGAGAAAGGTTGTGGTCTGCTTTGTAAGTACCTCCCCCTGCTAACTCATCAAGGTGCTAATCCTTCACTTATGTATGTGGAGGGGGAAGGAGAAAGAAGCCAAAGAGCTAGCATCTTTTCACTTGACTTAGCTGTGAGTGCAGCTTCTTCCTGTCACTACTGCTCTAACACTGATCAAGTTTTAATATCCTCACTGTGGCTAGGACTCATGTGCTGCTTCTGTAACTGGGTTGGGGGCATGTTTAAAGGGTTTGAAAAGACCATGTTGTCTGCTTCCCCTTTGCACAGTTCCTGAAGCAGAAATCTGGTTCTGATTTAAGGTTCACATCCATCATCCCAGCCCCATTTATTGAGTAGACTCTCCTTTCCCGCTGATGTGTATTACTGCCTTCCACCCAATATAGTGGAAATATATGTTTGCCAAATAATGGGAGTACAGGTTGACCCCATGGCTTGTCACTCTTAACTGAGTTCTTTTTTCTTCCTGACTTAATTGCCAGGAGCAGGTCAGCAAGTTTGCTGGAATCGACATTTAACTGGGAGCAGGATGGTAGGCCTTTTGTTTAGGCAACCCTAATCTTTATGAGGGATTACCCTGGCTTTCCTCTTTCCCTTAGCTTCTGGAGAATGGAGGTGCACCATCTCCTTTCCTCCCAGAAAGAGCGATAATAACCTCTCCACCCCAGAAGCTCATGATCCCTCCCAGGTCTTAGTCCTTTTCCTTATGTGGAGTAAGGAGAGAATTGGTGGTAAGTACTGGTCTAGTGAATCTCAGTAAGCCTCGGGGGGAGGTGGCTGGCTTCAACTGCTAGTGACACCTTAGTCTTAGGCCATAGAATGCTTAGCATCCTTTCTTATCAATTTTGGATTTACCAGCAATTTCAGGACAACCAGAAAAATCCCACTTGACATAAGGTTACATTTCATTGGTATTCTTTCCTGTATAAAAGTTTCAAAATGTCTCAGTATAGTCAGATGTATTCATCTTTTCCTTTAGCTTTTTCGAGAAATATTTCTCTGTTCCTTTCAAAATGTTGCTTTTCACATTTAGATCTTTGGTCTATTTGACTCTTTAAAAATTTGTTTTATTTGTGGTATAAGGTAGAGATCTGATTTTAACTTTCCCATAAGGATAGTTCTTGTCTCAGTAGTTGAATAGTTTTTTCTTTCCCATGATTAGTATTACTGCCTTTCAAGTTGCTTTAGCTGATATCCATTTTTTTTTGTATTTTCTTTCTACAGGAATCACCTTCACTGTTCTCTAAAGTTAATTAGAACCCTGACATGTCTACTCATCATAGTGAATTGTTCCAAGGATGTTTTATTAGAGTAGGAGCTATCTTTACTAATGCATTCCTAGCATTTAGTATAGTACCTGGCACAGAGTAGGCTCTCAACAAATACTAATGAGCAAGTCCAGGCCAAGATCCACTCAGCTGAGAGTCTTCCCTAAAGTCTAGATTCCACAGAATTCGATAGGTTTTATATTTTACTGTGATTGGTAAAATGGGCTTTTCCTTTCCAGTAGCATAGTCTTTCTCGATCTGTTATTCTTTGAGATAGACATTTTGAATATTCCTAGATTTGTCCCTTTTCTTGAGCTTGGCACCTAATGGGTCATTTCGCTTTATAATTTCTAATTCCTTAAAATTAAGGTATATTTTCTGTTCCTACTATATCTTCATTTTAGCTTAGGCTTTTCCCCCACCCCCTTCCTTTATTTTCTTAATGTGATATTTGGTATATGCACAAGAATGTGCATAATAATAAATTTTAATTCGATGTATACCTATGGAAACCACGACTTGCCTAAGAATGGTAACATTATCTGTCCATTGCCTCTACGTAGGTACTCCTCCCTGGCCCACCCCTTGCCTCCACCAAAGAGGTAATCACTAAGTTAGAAGTCTGGGTATCTCATCCTCTCGCTTTGGTTTTCTTTTCAAATATAGACTTATGATATATAAAAATATTCCTAACAATGCATTATGTAGATTCATTTGCTATTGAGCTTTATAAGAATAGTTTCATACTTTGTGACGTCTGCAAAATAAAATTTTCATTCAACATTTATGCTTCTAAGATTCATCCATACTGTTGTGTGTGGCTATGGCTCACTAATTTCATTTCATTATTTAATTTCATTAGTGGACACAATGACCTTACATTGTGTAACATACCATGGTTTCTCTATTCTCCTGTTGATATTTTTAGACTGTTTCCAGATTTGTATTTGCTACTTTGGACAAGATTACTATAAACACTGTTGTTTATGTCTCTTGGTCCACATGTGTAGTTTTTCCAGGCTCTGTATCAAGGAGTGGACTTTCTGGGTGAAAGGATATGCAAGTGTTCAACTTTAACAGATAATGCCAAATTGCTTTTCAAAGTGATCTGTTTATACTCATACCAGTAAAGTGTTAAACTCCTCATTGACTCATTCTTTCCACATTTGGCATTATGAGATTAATTTTTTCCCTTTTTAGATGTGAAATTGTGTCTCCTTTTAATTGTAATTTGTATTTCCCCAAGAAAAGAATTTGAGATTGTTTTATATGCCTACTGACCATTCATGTTTCCATTTCTGTGTAAAATGGCTGTTTGTCTTTGACCTTTTTTCTATTGGGTTGAGTTTTTCTTATTGAGTTAAAGTTCTTCTTATATCTTGGATCCAAACTTAATTCCTTATCAGTTGTAAGTATTGCCAATATTTTCTTCCAGTTAGTGGCTTGCTTTTTTACTTTCTTTATAGTAGCTCTGTAGAAAGAAATTTTCATGAAGTTTTAATAGTAATAAAGCTGAATTTATGAATCTTTTCTATTGTAATTGGAATTTTTTTATCTTGTTTGAAAAATATCCAGCTCTACACTGAATTTATAAATACATTCTCCTGTGCTTTCTCTTAAAGGATTTAGAAGTTTTATCTTTCACATTTAAGATGCATGTGGAATTAATTTTTGTGTATATGTTATGAAGTAAAGCTCCAATTTTATTTTTCCTTGTGGATAAACAATTATCCTGTAAGAGCATTTATTTAGAGTGAAATATATTCACAATACATATTGATATGAGAAGAAGGCATATAACAGAATATATGGTATTTTGAAAGCATAAAATATGCATATAGTAATTAGTATATATATAAAATTAAAGAGACACACACCAAAATAACTATCCAAAATGATTATCTTTGGATAGTCGGACAATTGATGATCTTTATTTTTTCTTTTCTGTATTTTCCACCTTTTCTCTGATGAGCGTATATTCATGGTTTTTTAGCAGTGAAAAATAAGGTAGTATTTATAGATGATGATATAGTGTCAGCACATCTTAAAGAGAAATCATTAGTTGAAAGAGAAACCATTAATTAAAATCCTCCAACTTAATTTTTTTATAGTTTCCTTCCATTCTAAACCAGGAGAATGTTTGTAGATTATGTAGTACGTCTCAATAGAAGGTAAAAAATGGTTAAGTTCTGAAATCTGGGTGAATCTTCTGTAAATAGTTATATAAAAGTTCTCTCTCTCGAGCTGTGTTTACTTTACAGGTATGTGAGACTCTTTGGAGAATAGGACCCAGGTTACTTATGTGTATCATTGGTGATATAATTATTTCTTTTTGATCAACAGCAGATAATGAAAAGACTTATAAAACGATATGTTCTGAAAGCACAAGTAGACAAAGAAAATGATGAAGTTAATGAAGGTAAGCATCTCCAACTTGAGAAACATCCTTTTGCAACTAACTTAATGATCTCAGGATACTTTAAAAATCCAATCGAAGATTGATAGGAGAATCTTAGGTTACATTTCTAAACCTCTTTTAAAAGAAAAAGTTATTAAAAATGTCAGTTAGAAACAGTTTATCTCTGATAAGAATGTCCTGATTCTTAGAATGTAAAACCTGCCATTTTTCTGGGAGCCTTTAAATTACATAAAAAGTATTCAGCAGTTTTAATTCCGTTGCAGTGAGTTCACGTGAGTGCTAACATTTTTCCAATCTTAACATTTTCCAATAGGATACTTGGGTGGTTGGTTCAAATAGAACTCATATTTCTTCAGAAAAATCTTTACTTTTTTTGTACAGAAAGAAATCTGTAACCCATTTTTCTCATCTGGTGTTTCTCTTTTGCCTTTCACTTTTCTCCTTGGCTCCTTATGTAAAGGTGCCTATTTTTCCAGGCATATCCTAGGCAGGGCATCTGTCTGTACTATAAAAATGTTTCACCAAAGGCTAGGCCGAAAAACAGGCCCAGAGTTGGAAAGAAATCAACCTGGGAAAAATAAGTTGCCTTAAAAGTGGAAACTAGCTTCCAACAGTAATGAGATGCCACTAGATCTATCTATGCTGATAAAGAGTAGAAAGGGCTAAACTAAATAAAACTGGTGATGGGCATCAAAGCCATTACCTGATGAATGCAAGGAATCTCTTAAAAATCTGGGTCAGACCACTGATCTGTGTTTGTAGAAAAGAAGTCAATGAACATCTGATTGAGGACCAGCAAAAATCCAATCATGATGCCCTAGAAACTGTCTCAGGGAGACAGGATGGAAAGGGGTTGTAGTTTAGAAAGCAGAAATCTGATTATTTGTACAATAACCTCTCTGATGGGTGCCAATGGGGAGAAGAAAAAAAAGTGATAATGGGGGAATTGGATGGCTGACAGCAACAAACGCAAAGGAGCATCTTACATGTCCTTGTACCCAAGAGGAAAATGAGTTAATGAGAATTTGGAGCATTGAACAAAGCTCTCACTAAACTATCATACAATTTAGCATTCTTATTTAATAAATAAAAAAACTGAAGTCCAAGAGATTGAATAGTTTGTGCTTCCTGTATTGGCATATACACCATGTAACACTTAATAGTCTCCTCATAAGTCAAAAACAAAAGAGGAGGATGTGGCAGTAGGAAGGTGAAAGGAGATCTAGTGAGTTTGTAGTCCAGATGTGTTACTGAGTGGTGTGAGAATCTATTTCCTTCAGCAATGACTGACCTTGTGATTTCAAATTAGATCATATTGCCAGATGGGAAAGGAAGAAGCATTTTTTTTTGCATAAAAAAAGGAATCTGCAAATGCTTTATATGTATTCTTGTGGAATAATTAGAATTCCTATATATATATATATAACATATAAATTGTTATATATTTATAAATATATATAAAACATAGAAATTATACTCTAAAACACCATAAAGGTGCCAGGGAATAATATGGAAGGTATGTTTTACATGTGATTCTTTTTTTTTCTTTTAAATTTTTTTTAAAATTTATTTATTTATGATAGTCACAGAGAGAAAGAGAGAGAGAGAGAGGCAGAGAGAGAAGCAGGCTCCATGAACCGCGAGCCCGATATGGGATTTGATCCCGGGTCTCCAGGATCGCTCCTTGGGCCAAAGGCAGGCGCCAAACCGCTGCGCCACCCAGGGATCCCTTACATGTGATTCTTTAAAAAAAAAAAAAAAAAAAAAAAGCTGTAGAAATACCAGTAGTTTGAAGAATCATTTCTTAGATTCAAGATAAATCTCTGCCCAAAGTTTACCTTTTAATGTCAATGGCTTATCTACATTACAATCATTTGCAAGAGAATCATGTTGTTGTTGTTTTTTTAACATTTCGTTTATTAATTTGAGAGAGAAAATCAGTGAGAGACAGAGACAGAGGAGCAGGGGGAGAGGCCAAAGGAGAGGGAGAAGCAGACTCCCTGCTGAGTAGGGAGCCCAATGTGGGACTTGATCCCAGGAGCCCAGGATCATGACTTGAGCCAAAGACAGGTGCTTAACTGACCGAGCCACCCAGGCACCCCGAGAATTCAGTTTTTAATAGCAAACTACACACATTCAAAACACTTCCAAGCTGAATTATGGGAAGAATTGATTTTTAATAGCCAAAAGTCTCCTATGGAGATTCTTATGTGTAAACACATTGCCGGTGGTATCACATCTAAATTTAATTTCACATTGTTTGTTACTTCCTAATACTTAGGTTTTGTGTATCCCACAAAATGTTCCTTGGCCCCAAGTTCACTACCATTCCCTTCCTTAATAATCACTCCTTCTTCTTTTTCTTCCCTTCTCTTACCTCAAACCTGACTTAAAATTTACTCGTTCCATGTGAGTATTTGCCTATTAAACAGATTGAATCATCTTTAGTAAAGTTTCATTTTGCTAGGAGTTTCTTCCATCCTAGCAAAGGGAGATGAGCCATCTAGGTTTCAACCCTATGTCTGGGGAACCAAAGGGGAACTCCCTATAGACGGGATGGCGATACCCTGGCTGTAGATCAGTTCGCCAAGAAATTGCCCTATGTTAAGAGGTGACTGAGCCCCAGAATAATACTTTAGCTGAGTTTTACTGTTGAAAACATGGCTGGACTATTTTTATAGCTTTTGTCAAAGGTCAGCATATTTATAAAGACTAATACTTCTTAAATATCTTGAAGGAAAAAGTTTGAAAAAAACTACCTTGGACTTTATGAAGCAAATGTGTTCGTATTATATGAATTTGTGTGAATTTCACTCTTTGTTCTTTTCTAAATCCAAAGAGCAAATTACCAATGATATTTTTTAAATACAAATACTGTAGGTGAATTGAAAGAAATCAAGCAAGATATCTCCAGCCTTCGTTATGAACTTTTGGAAGACAAGAGCCAAGCAACTGAGGAATTAGCTGTTCTGATTCATAAACTCAGTGAGAAACTGAATCCTAGCATGCCAAGATGTGAATGATTCAGTAACCTGGAATAATGGCTTTGACTATAGCACAAATGTGGGCAATAATATTTCTAAGTATAAAATACTTGAAATGGTGTAAATTTTTAGTATTAACTACCTTTATCATGTGAATCTTTAAAACTTAGGTCTTAATGATTTTACTGTTTTATCACATGAAAATTGTCTTCATTTTAATTGTCTTCCTTGACATTATAAACAATGACATGCCAATGTATTTAAAGACCCAGTACTATTACATTACTGACATTTTTGTCCACTTTAGAATAAACTCTATGTCTTTGTACTTACCTGTTTGCCTCCAAGAGACTGTAAGCTTCTGGGAGACAGGGACCATGTCTTATTCATCTTTGTGTCTCCAGCATCTAGTACAGTGCCTGGTACATAGTAGGTGCTCAATAAATGTTGAAACCAACTGAACGGAACTGCCAACAAAATACAAATAAAAATAAAAAGGCCATCACTATGTAGCATTCCTTCCCTTGTCCAAGTGCTGAAGAGATTTTTTTTTTAAATAGAAACTAAAGAAATTTTATAACCGGCTATGACTTGGTAAGATTTTCTTAGAATTTTTGGCATCACTCATAAATCCTAGGACCTTTGAGCTCTGAATAACAATGAAATAGGTATACTTACAGTGCATATCTAAGTTTCATGGAATTGTTCAAAACAACACATTAAAGATTTTTCTAAAGTATATACATTTTGCTGTCTTACATTTTCATTACATGTCAGTAATGTGAATTTATTTGGTGGAGTGGTAAGTTCTTTTAAAGTTAGGGGCTATGCAGGGTTGCTGTTTTGTTATAACCTTCTAATTTCTGCCTCTGGTGCTTTAATGCTAAGTAAGATATCAACAGCTGACTTCTATCTTGCCCATTAGCTTCATTCTGAGTTTTAGAGGGTATGTGTATGGGAAGAACCAGGAAAGAGCAATGGCTGGCTACCTGGAAACACATATCCAAGCATCACCAGGTATGTTTCATTTCCCTTTGAGGCATCTCTTGCTATCATTGCTTACAATGATTGTCATCCTTTTTCTTATGAAAGCATTTCAATTACACTTTCTATACAAAATAAATGGTGATGAATCTGTAATTGATTTACTTTATAACTAAGCTGAATGTTGGTAATATCCATACCACCTCATGACTTTAATAAGAAAGGGGATACAGGCCAGGAACTTCCCTCCTCTCTTCTCAGACCATAAAACAAAGTATTTTTTAAAAAAACCAGCTAGGTTTAATCTCTCGTAGAGTTCTACTTATCATCCAGATTCACTTCACTCTGTTTTTGTCAAGTCTTACAGGAATACAATTTATGATCATGGCTCAAGGATAGTTTTATGGGTTCTAAAAACCAATTAAATACATGATACTTTAAAAATTATTAATACCATATAGGAAGGCTTCCTAGACGTGAAAACAAAAATTAACATTAAATGGTACTACATAAAGCTCTTTAAAGATAATTTCTTATTTTCTACTTTTGAAGAGTTAAAACAGTTAAGGTAAGAAAACAGTTAAGGAAATAACTTTATATGCTTTTGCTACCATTGTAGAATATTTCATTAACTTTTGTGCTATGCTAATGGTATTTTGTCTTAAACATTTTTCAGACTTTATGTATTTTATATTATACCTCAGAACTGAATAAAATATTGATTTTTTATTGTTACATGTTACTATAGTTTATATTGAAACAGTTAAGATGTAGAGTTTCCATAATAGACAATACTTTGAGTCTTCTCATGTTGTCTGTGATTCCAAGAGCAAAATATTTTACCTACAGCTATAGACCAGCATATTTAGTAATATTCCTAACTGGGATTGGAAACATGTTGAATGAAAAAGTGTCAGATACCTCCAAGGACATCCAGTCTAGGATCCTTTGAGTATTGAATGAAAATAAGCTCATGGCATCTATACCCTGTGAGGAAAAAATATATATATTATATACATATAATATATATATTAGTCTATGCCTCCTACAACTATAGGGATATTAACATAGGTTGTTTTTCCTTTATTTACTATGCTTACATAAAACTGGTATGTTTCTGTTACTTCATTTTTTTTTCCTTCATAGTTTCTAGGTGGTAGCCAAGAAGGAAGATGTGATGCCAAGGTGTGGTGGATACTGTTGATACTGTTGATGTCCTGCCCAGATCATTTTTAATGGGCCAGTGTATAGGCATCTCCCATATTCTGTGAGGGTTGGCTCCTTAGCAGTTCCCAAGTATCCCCTTCCCCAGGGAATTGCTCTCAAGCGAAAGGAAGCAGCCTTGCCCTGGATGTTATGCTTCCCCTTCTTCATGCCAATGACCAACTGACTGGGGTGGAAACAAAAAGGCTGGGCCCTTGTTTCAAGGTAGGGCCAACTTTTTGGTGTAGTTCATGTTCTAGAGCTCCAGGAAGGGTTAGGCCCAGCCAGACTCCATTTGAGACCAAATCTGTGTGTTTAGCTTTTTTCTCTGTCTTACCCTGTTTCCCTTTCTCCCTTTCTGCTGAGAATATACCTTCAATAAATCACCACAACCAAATCTTGTTAGGCTTTGTCCCCAGTGAGCCCATTCTAAGACATGGGTATTACTGTGGCCATATAGGGACAAAGTAAGGGTTACTCTAGGTGATTACTGTAAAAATAATGTTTCTTTGAGGTTAATGATAGCTCTGGGCCAGCAAGTTCTTGTCCCACCCACTGTTCTAAAGGATACATTGGGCTTGGTGGGGCACCTGGGAGAAGGGAACGTTTTAACAGGACCAAAAACAATTTGTTTAGCAAAAGACTAGGTATTATTTATGATTAATTAGAAAAGTATCAAAGTCCTATATCTCTTTTCAATTTCTCTGCTGTTCTTAGTTTTTTCCTCAGTTACAGATGAAGGAAAGGAGGCAACTCTTGAATTGCTTCTTAAGCTTACTGTTTAAAAATTTTGACACTTTGTGTTTCTGTATTAAATTTATTGAAGACCCTTGACTTAATGGACTTCACAATATGTTGAGAAGCTTATATTCATAGACTTGAAATAAAAGAGGGAAAACACAATAGTATCCAATGTTTTCAGAGTTCTTTGCACTGTAAAAATTTGAAAATGACGTATGTTTTGTGATTATTAAAAGCAAATTTAGTACAACTTAGGATAAGTCTTTAACCCTATCATGTCCAATATGTTTCAATTTCAAATGTGTTAAGCCAACTGAAGGAAGCTTTTGTAAATAGGAAATAAGTGTCTTAGAAACGACATCTAAAGAGAACTGGAGCCGCATTGCTTGTTTAATAATGTGCCCTGGGACAAATCTCATTTTATACCTTGTTCAGTCAAACAGGGTTATGCTACAAGCAGGTTCTTAGTCTTTGGGTGTCACAGAGCTGCTTCAGGGGTTGATCTCATCATCCAAAGCAGTAATGATATCTCTCCCCATGTTTCATTTTTTAAATCAATCTAATAGAGTTATTTATTACTTTCAAAATTTTTTAAAAAAGATTTCATTTATTCATAAGAGACACAGAGAGGCAGAGACTTAAGCAGAAGGAGAGGCAGGCTTCTCATGGGGAGCCTGATGTGGGACTTCATCCCAGGACCCCAGGGATCATGATCAGAACTGGAGACCCTCAACCACTCAGCCACCCAGGTGCCCTATTGCTTTTTTATAAAATGAGAGTTTCCAAATTGGTCCATGTTAGTGGAGACCAATGTATGTACTCATGAGTCACTCAGTCAACCACCGCTAGCTGTGTCATGGTTTTAACTTTAATGCAGTTTTAAATTGTTTTGTATTCTTAGTCATAAGTTGCTTAATTTATACTCATAATGATTGCTTTAAGACCACAACATAAGGTTTATAAGTTACTGAAGTGTATGATACTTCTGTAAATTTGTCTCAAGGCATTATTTATCACATCTGAGATATAGTCTTTTTTTGTTGTTTTTATTTTGGATTTTTTTAATGTAACCCACCAAGATATCTCTAGTATCCTAAAATATCTTTAAAAAGAGAAATTATAGTGGCAATTTTGTCTAACTTGGCTTTTCATTTTTGTGAATAAAAACTGCCCACCCTGTTGATTATATAAGAAGTATTTAAAGTTAGTACTCTGAAACCTTTGCCATTTAGAAACAAAACACAGTACTTAAAAAAAAATCACTTGCCCTTTCTAGATGCAAAAGGAAAGAATTCCAAACATCATATTATGCAAGCTTTTTGTCTATTTTTGATTCTATATCATAGCCTCATTTCAATGTTTTAAAATAAATTTGATCTTTAAAATGAATTCTTTTCTTTTACACAATTAGCTTAAAGTAAAATAAACAGTGGGCATCACTTGTTAAATGGAAAATAAGCATTGCCAGTATATGTTTTTATTACAAATATTGTAAAGATTGCATGAAGATGAATTTTATAATGCCTCCTTAAATAATTATAGCAACCTAACATAAAATGCCTTTTATTTAAAGTTACATTTCTACACATTTTCTTTCTGTACAGAATTACAAAATTGCACAATAAAAAATGAAATAATTATTAAGAGTCCTACTAGAAAGATTATATACTACTATGAAAGTGGTTTGTGGATCCAAAAATGAGAAAATTGGATTAATGGTTTCTAAGATTTTGCCAGACCTAGAATACTTATTGAATTTCCCAGAGTAATTTTTAAAAAGATAATTCCTACCCACTTCATTACATTTTCAATATTTTTATTTGTTTGTAATAATGCAAAAACATAGCAATAATAGTATCAGTATCATTTTCCTTAAGTTGTTAACATGCATTGCCAGGACTTGAAAAGGGAAGTAAAAAAATAGTGGGAAGATTTGGTACTTACTATTCTGGATAACCCTTTATCAGAACCTTGCAATTATAGAGATAGAAGAACGCCCACTTCGGAAACCACGCAGAGTGAAACAAGGATTCTGAGAATCTTTTGGTTTTTAACTTTATTTTATAACAATTTTATTTTTAAATTGCAAAATTTTATTAAAAATAATGCAAAAATCTTATGGAAAACACAAAACAAGAGAATGTTTATAATCTTTTAATCTATAACCAACTAAAAATATTTGGATTCATTTCATAACAAGTTCTTTACTATAATTGTAATCATTGTATATACACTATTTTATATTCTCCTTTTATTATTATCCTGAACACTTCCCACATTGCTATACAGCCTTCATTATTTTCACTTTCAGTAGCTGTGTAGTAGTCTATAACGTGGATGCACCATTCCCATTTTATTGGATAGGTAGGTCCTTATTTTTAATGGATCCTCAATTATGCTTTGTTACTTTTATATTTTTGTAGGCTAAATATCCATAATTGGAGTTATGCATTAAAAATGTGATCAAATATTTATAGGTTTGGATACATATTGCTACATTGCTTTTGAAAGGGTTTTATTACCAGTTAAAAGCATCACAGTTGATGAGCGCATACTCTCTCTCCAACATAGAGTGTTAAATCTTTTTCTAAATCTGAAAGGCAAAATAAAAAAGGTATCTTGCTTTAATTGTATTGATTGCAAATGAAGGTAATAGATTTCTATAAGTTTGTTCAGTTTTGTAAGTTTGTTTAGTAGCCACTTTGTGAAATGTCTGTTCATATTTTCAACTGTTTACTTATTGGAATCTTATGTTTTTATGAGTTTGTATGAACTGTTTATAAAGGTGTTAAGTTTGTACATATCTCAAATTTTTGTTTACATGTAAATTTTTGTCACATATTGAAATGTTTCATCTATATTTAATATTTTTTTCTTTGTGGTTTCTTCTATTCCTCTTAACATCAGACAGTTCCTTTCTGTTATGGGCTGAATTGTGTCCCACTTAAATTCATGTGTTGAAGTCCTATTCCCCAGTACCTCAGAATGCAACTATATTTGGAGATGGTACCTCTAAAAGAGGTAATTAAGTTAAAATCAGTTCATTAGGGTGGGCCTTAATCCAATTTGACTGGTTTCCTGATCAGAAGAGATTAGGATAGGACACAGACTTACAAAGAGGAAAGACCTTGTGAAGATACAAGGAAAAGATGACCATCTATAAGCTAAGGTGAGATGCCTCAGAAGATTGGTTTGGTTTCCTGTTGATACTTTGATGTTATACTCCTAGCCTGTGAGGAGACCTGTCAGAAAATAAAATTCTGTTGTTTAACGTCATCCAGTTTGTGGTACTTTGTTATTGGGCCCTAGCTAACTAATATGTCTTCCAATTCCCTAAATTCTATTAAATTCTATACAACTCTATGTTCTCATATCTCTTCTATGGCTTTATTTTTCAATTTACTTCTGAAATTTATCTGTATTTTTGTTGAGTCTAAATTGATGTGTATTTTTCCCAAATTGCTACACAGTTACTTTATCTCCAGGCACTGTTGTCTGTTTTCAATGTGGAGTTATTTTAGCCTCAGAAAAAAGAATTGTCTGGAACATTCTGGTACCAAGTAAAAACCTTCCCAGATCCCTTGCAGGAAATAATTTTTCTACCTAAAAAGCACCTCTTCTCAGGGTTTCAATTCTTGTTCCACAATCACTTCTGAACTCTCCCCTAGTAGACCTAAGAAATCAGGAAAGAGGCTGTATCTTACTCATCCATCTATAGTATTTTTGTAGGCAGAGCACCGTGTGAATTAAGGAAGGGCTGACGAAAGAATAAGGGAATGTCAGCTCTAAGTCTATAGGCCAATGATAGTCTGCAGATCCCTGAGGCCTTTTCAGGGGGTCTGTGATTTTGAAATTATTTTCATTACTCTAAGACATTATCTGCCTTTTCCACAGTGTTGACATTTGCACTGATGGTACAAAAACAATGGTGGTTAATGGTGCTGTTATTTAAACGTGAATCAAAGCAGTGGCTTCAAACTGTAGTAATAGTCATGTGTTTTTCATGCCACATATTGTCAGGAAACAAAATTCTATATAAGAATGCCTTTTGTGGGGATCCCTGGGTGGCTCAGTGATTTAGTGCCTGCCTTTGGCCGAGGGCACGATCCTGGGGTCCTGGGATCGAGTCTTGCATCGGGCTCCCGGCATGGAGCCTGCTTCTCCCTCTGCCTGTGTCTCTGCCTCTCTCTCTCTCTCCCTCTATCATGAATGAATGAATGAATGAATGAATGAATGAATGAATGAATAAATAAATCTTAAAAAAAATAGAATGCCTTTTGTGTTGGGGCACCTGGCTCAGTCAGTTAAGTGTCTGCCTTCCCCTCGGATCATGATCCCAGGATCCTAGGATCAAGCTCCAGTTGGGCTCCCTGCTCAGTAGAATGTCTGTTTCCCCCTGCCACTCTGCCTACTTGTGCTGTCTGTCTCTGTCAAATGAATAAATAAAATCCTTTTTAAAAATGCCTTTTGTGAAGCAATAAAATTTGTTAATTTTAAGTCTCTTGAATACATTTCGTTTTAAATATTTGTGTGATAAAATGGGAAGTAAACGTAAAGCATTTTTACTCAATATAGAAGGGTATTGTCTCAAGGAAAAGCATTTGTGTGATTACTTGAATTGCTAGCTGCTTTTTAAAAGCACAAATGACAGAAATTATGATTATTCAGAGTTGGATATTTGGTGTACACTTTCTTGTGAATCCAAGCAGGGAACCTATTATTTCAAGGAAAACAATTGACATTTGTTGTCGGTGCTTACAATTTTAAGCACAAATTAGAATATTGCAAAATTTGTATGTCTTAGGTTGATAGCTTTCCGATACTTCAAAACTTTTCCAATGAAATCCATGGTGACATTAACATAGGATTTCTTGGATGTTGTATAATGAAGACACATTCCAGTTTGCAATTAGCTTTTCAGAAACTACTGCTTGTTGATTTTGGACCAGATTTTCTTCATGTACTTAAAAAAAAACAAAAACAAATACCAACAGATTGAATGCAGTATTAGATCTGGGACTTGCCTGTCTACTATTCAGGTGGACAGTAAATAGATTTGCAAATAACACCAGTCGTTTTACCTCTTTTTTCAGTCGAAAACAGTTATTTTCACTAAATATTTATGTAACAGGTTTTTAAAATATATTTAACAATTTCAGTTCTAATTTCTAATATGGTAAATATCATCAGATAACTCCTAAACAAAAGGTCTTTGGGGGTCCTCCAGAATGGTTTGTAAGAGTTATGTGAAGGGGTCGTAAGGCCAAAAGTTTGTAGAACCTAATTGTTTGAAGGACCCTTTCCAGGGACCGTAAAATAGAATCCACACAGGCTTCATTCACATCAGGAGTCTACACGGAGAGCTTAGAGGTGCCGCCCTAGATGGCGGTGGGGGTGGAGCCAATAGTGCGTCTCCAGTCTCCCGGGAAACCACCTTTCTCCGGTCTCCTGGATCGTTCCGCCGTTCCTCTCTGCCTCTGATTGGACGCAAGTTAAGTCAGTGGGCGGTCCTTCGGGAGAGGGGCGGGGCCCGCCTCGCGGGAACGTATTGACGTCACGCCGACGCCACGGCCCTGACGCCACGCCCTCGCATCCCCTAGTGAGGCTGCTGAGGTTGCTTTTTCGGGGGCTCGCGAGCGTCCGCTACCCCCTCCTCAGAGGCCTGGGGCTGGCAGCCTCTGTCACGGCTCCGGTGCCGGCTCGGCGCTGCGCAGCGCGTCGGTGCCACCGTCATGGATCTAAATTTAAATCGAGCGGATTATTTACAGGTAAACCTGAGGGGATAAGGCGGGAGCCGCGGGGGGCGATTCTGCCCTTGCGCCGAGTACGGTCGGGGCCGCCCGGAGCGGGCGTGGCGGCCTAGGTGCTGCGGGGCGGGGGGCTGCGCTCGCGAGTCCCGGTCACCGGCAGCTCCTGCTCGTTCCTGAGGGTCCGCAGGGACGTGGAAAGGAGCGGCCCACGCCCCCGCGTCGCCGGCGCCTGCCAGCCTCGGAAGATGCCTAGAATGCATGACGTGATCCCGATGCCCCTCCGGGGGGCCCGTCGCCTCGCGTCTGCGGCTCCCTGTGGGCCCCGACGTCCCGGAGCTCCATCTCTACCCAGCCCCTTCTCCGGAGCGCCAGAGCTCGACCTCAACCAGCCAGGTCGTAAACGCGGCAACCGTCGATTGTGCCCGCAGTTTTGTTCTAAGAGCTTAACATGCTTTAATCTTCATAAACATTTCTCTTAGGAGGTGATGATACGACCTGGGGATCCAGGGACCCGGATAAAGCAACTGGCTTTACAGCAAAATCAAAGGATGGAGTTCCTATCTGAAACAAAGTCTCTGACGCCGGAGCTGGTGCTCTCGGTTACACCATCCTGCCTCTCCTTATTTCAGCTCTGCATATTCTGTACCTCTTTTCCTTCTCTTTTTTCCAGTAATCCTGTTTTGGCTAATTGTACAAAAGTTTGCCCGTCAGTTTGCCTGGAAGTTATGCTTCGTTACTTTCCACCTTAATCTCTTCCATGTTGAACTGGTCACCACTTTTTGCTACTGCTTTTGTCTCCTAAATATCTCTTGACTCTGTCCCATTGTTTCCATCTCCATCTCCAGTTCAGGTTCTCATCTTCTCTTTCTCCAAGAATTGAAATAGCTTCTTTTTTTTTTAAATAAAGATTTTATTTATTTATTCATGAGAGACACACACACAGAGAGAGAGAGAGGCACAGACACAAGCAGAGGGAGAAGCAGGCTCCATGCATTGAACCCGACAGGGGACTGGATCCCAGGTCTCCAGGATCATACCCTGGGCTGAAGGCCGCGCTAAACCGCTTTGCTACCCGGGCTGCCCTGAAATAGCCTCTTGATTGGGCTCCTAGCCTTCAGCTTCACCTCCCTCCAAGCCATCCTTAACATCACTTATTAGAGTGATGTTTCACAAATGCAAGTCAAAAGAGATACTTTAAACTTTAATACTACCCCTTAGAATAATGAATAAAATTGTAGTTCTACACTCCCTAAATCCTTTCATGATTTATTGTTTTTTCCAAGTTCTCTCACGTTGGCCCCATCATCCTTCCCACCTCCTATCGTAATGGTGCACCGCCAGTGATAGTTCGTTGCTGAACATGCCATGCTGTTTTCACCTTCCATAACTTTTGTGAAATAATTTGATCATCAGATTGGATGGTATTGCCATCAGCATGTTTGATATTTTAGCAAAAATCTTCTGTGTTGGATTATTAATAATTGTCATCTACTTCCAAAGATTTTTTAAATCGCTTTGCAAAAACAACTATATGAAGTGTTTTTTTTTAAGATTTTATTTATTTATTCATGATAAACGTAGAGAGAGAGAGAGAGAGAGAGAGAGAGAGGCAGAGACACAGGCAGAGGGAGAAGCAGGCTCCATGCCAGGAGCAGGCTCCCCTCCAGGATCGCATCCCCGGCCAAAGGCAGGCGCCAAACCACTGAGCCACCCAGGGATCCCTATATGAAGTTTTTTTTATGAAGTCTTCTAGAAATACTTGTTTGCTAAGTATTTTGCCACTAGTGTTACATTATTTTTGGCTTGACAACTTTTAGCTTGAATTTTACTATTTTGAGTGTCCTGTATTTTGACTTTTTGTGGCATATTGCATTAGAAAATAACTTCATCACTGATCATAATTATATCACTAATTGCAGTAAAAAATAAGACTATGATCAGCATCTGCTGGTCCTTTTAATCTCTGATGTAATAATTTCAAGTTAGAATAACAGAAAACATTCACTAGGTGACTGGTGTGTTTCCTTAGGTGGGAGTGACCTCTCAGAAGACTATGAAGCTACTTCCTGCCTCAAGGCATAAAGCTACACAAAAGGTACTGTAGAGGTACTGATTTCTCCCCATCTCTGTAGCTCTGATAGAGGAGAGGTTTATATTTCCTTATTGATAAGTTTCTCTTAAAAATACTAATGTTAAAATATAAATAAATTTATTTTAATTTGAACAGAGGTTAGAATACCAAAGGACATTTACAGACAGAAATTTACTTGGATGTTATAATGTTTATGTACAACCTGCAATAGATAAGCAAACTTGTTGAAAAATATGTTCAATTTTCCTGTTAATAATTTACTCAGTATTTGTGTGTACCAGATTGTGTATATGAAAAAAGGAACATAAAGCATAATAGGATATAGAGAAAATACTTTTTAAGCTTTATTGTATTAATAAGTTATTGGGGTGCTTGGGTGGCTCAGTCAGTTAAGTGTCCAGCTCTTGGTTTTGGCACAGGTTTGATCTCAGAGTCCTGAGATTGGGCCTGCTGATGGGCTCTGTGTTCATTTCATGGTCTGCTTGTCCCTCTGCCTCTATAATACCCACCCCCCACCACCACTCTACCTCATAAATAAAAATAAAATCTTTAAATAAAAGTGATTAAGTACTTTGATTTTGAACTTTATATTTAACTAATAATATTTTTATAGAAATATTGATCCTATGATTTCTATAAGCCAATTAAAATTTCTTAGTAGACTAGTAGGATATTTTAATAGCTGCAAAATAAATACAATATCCTGATATAATAACATTTTGTTAAGATAAATCATCATATCTCTGATTGTCATTTATTGTATTTGGTCTACTAGATCAGAATTTCTCAATTTTTTTGGTCTTGGGACCCTTTTACACTCTTAAATTATTGAGGATCCCAAACAACTTTTGTTTATTTGGTTTATATCTATCAATATTATTATATTAAGATTCAAACTGAGAAATGTCTAAAATATTTATTATTTTATCCTTTAAAACAACAGACCCATTACATTTACATAAATAACATTTTAATGAAAAATAACTGTTTTCAAAAATGAAAAGAGAATTGTGTTACACTTTTGTAAATCTCTAATCTGGCATAGGCAAAGACACCTGGCTTCTCATGTCTGTTTCCTACAGTCTATTGTGATAGAAGTATACAAAGAAAATCCAGCTCACACAGACATGCAGTTGAAAATAGGAGTTATTTAAATAGCTTTCCCAGATAATTACAGCTCTTCATATATATGACACAGATGCTTGACAACTAGTAGTTTCTTTCTTTTTTTTTTTTTTTGACAACTCGTAGTTTCTTTTTTTTTTTTTTTAATTTATTTATGATAGTCACACAGAGAGAGAGAGAGAGAGAGAGAGGCAGAGACATAGGCAGAGGGAGAAGCAGGCCCCACGCACTGGGAGCCCGAAGTGGGACTCGATCCTGGGTCTCCAGGATCACGCCCCGGGCCAAAGGCAGGCGCCAAACCGCTGCGCCACCCAGGGATCCCGACAACTAGTAGTTTCTTAAACATTAGCTGCAATGTGGGATATGAAACCCCATTGATTAGCTTTTCATGGTACATTAAAAACCATGTGTACTTTGTTTTGTCTTTGTTTTTGTTTTTTGGGTTTTTTTGTTTGTTTATAGATTTTATTTATTCATGAGAGACACACAGAGAGAGGCAGAGACATAGGTAGAGGGAGAAGCAGTCTCCCCACTCCTCACTGGGAGCTCCATTTGGGACCAGATGCAAAGACCCCTGGATCATAACCTGAGCCAAAGGCAGATGCTCAACCACTGAGTAACCCAGGTGCCCCAAATCCATTTGTACTTTGAATGGATCTTTTACTCATGCATAGTTTTATAGTATCTTGAAATGGTCTTTTGAGATTATTGGTTCATTCAGTTATGCAGATCTCCTAAATGTTGAGTGTTCAAATGTTGATTGTTCCAGGTATTATTATAGAATATCAAACAGATCACATTTGTTGATATCACTACTGATTTCATCAGAAAAGTTATTAAATGTGGAGTAGCTGTCAAGGTCACAGTAGGAGTAGATACAAGTCTTCCAAAGTACTTATTTTCACCTGAAAGCTCAAATTTTATCATTGGGAGCAAATACTGTCAATTATTTTCCTTTAAAATGAAAGCTCAGTTCTTTCAGTTTTTTGAGTTTTTTATTTTAATGTCTACAAATACCTAAATGTTAATTGCAATTTGTTATTAACTGTTGATAGTTGCCAGTTGTTCTTTCATTTCTAAAATAGTGTTTCTTGGGGTGCCTAGGTGGTGCAGTCGGTTAAGTGTCTGACTTGGTTTCAACTCAGATCTGATATCAGGGTTTTGAGATCCAGCCCATGTCCAACTCAGTGCTCAGGGTGGAGTCAGCTTGAGTTTCTCTCCTTTTGCTGGTCCCCTCCTGCTCATTCTCTCTCTGTCCCTAAAATTAAATAAATCTTAAAAAAAAATTGTTTCTTGAAAAATGAGTAGTTCAGCTTGAAATAAAACAGTTAGATAAGTGCTTTTTGGTATGCAGCAAGTGTTTTATACATCTTTCTTTTCTTTTCTTTCTTTCTTTCTTTCTTTTTTCCTTTTCTTTCTTTCTTTCTTTCTTTCTTTCTTTCTTTCTTTCTTTCTTTCTTTCTTATCCATCCATTTTAAAGGGGGGGCTGCAGAAAGAGTCTTAAGGAGACTCCACATTGAGTACTAGCCCAATGTGTGGCTAGATCTCAGGACCCTGAGATCATGATCTGAGCCTAAATCAAGAGTCTGGTGGACATTCAACCAACTGCACCACCCAGACACCCCAATTTTATACAGATTTTCTATTTTCTCACACTAAATACTAAAAAGACATGACTCAGGGGCCAAAATTTAACAAGAATAATACTTTTTATTGCTTCATCAAGAACATTCTTACATGAAGTTGGATTTTTTTTTCCTTACTCTCAAGTGGTGATAAAGATTACAGTGACCACTGGTATGGTTTGTTGTCATTGTTTTGGTTCTTGCCAGACACTACCAATTTTATCCACCATTGCTTTTGTACCATCTTGTAAATATCAACCTAGAGAAAAAGGAAAACAAAGACTTACTTAGAGAAATAGTTTTCACTTGCCAGATACCCTATAAAGTTCTTGTTGATCCCAGAAGTCAAGGAATCACACTTTGGGAAACCCTGTAATACATAATTGTTTTTACAAATTATTAGAGTAGTGTAGTGTTAAAAAAAACTCAAAACCTTAGCTATTCTTATGTATTTTTTCATCTGAATAGAAATCTGCCAATACCAAAATTCTTTTTTAAAAATATTTTATTTATTTATTCATGAGAGAGAGAGAGAGAGAGAGAGTCAGAGACACAGGCAGAGGGAGAAGCAGGCTCCATGCAGGGAGCCCGATGTGGGACTTGATCCCGGGACACCAGCATCACGCCCTGGGCTGAAGGCAGGTGCTTAAACCGCTGAGCCACCCAGGCTGCCCTAATACCAAAATTCTATAACTGAAAGCATGTGCATAATTATTTGTAAATGTTCATTGTTCTGGGGAAAAAGTCCATAGCTTTCATCAAATGCACAAAAGGGTTTGTGATCCCCCAACCCCAAAGTTAAGAATCAAGGGCCTAAGAATCTGCTCTATGCAACATCCAACTTTTTCATATTTGAGGCTTATTGTATGTCCTAGTACATGGTCACCTTTCTAATGTTTTCTGTGTGCTTGAAAAGAACATTTATAATTTAATTCCTAGGATAAGTGATTACTTATTTATGCATGTGTTTACACACATACACTATATGTATGTGCATGCAAGTATACATATGTGTATATATTTTAAATCAAAGGTAATTGTTTTTTAATCTATATCCTTATCTTTTGTCTGCTTGATTATCAGTTCCTGAGAAAGAAGTGGTGAAATCTCCCTCTATATTTATTTCAAAATAATCCATTGGTTACATGTTGATAATTATTGAAGCTGAGTGATGGATACATGGAAATTCATTATAATATTCTGTCTACTTTTGTATATGTTAAAATTTTTCTATTAACAAATGTTTTAAAAATATCAAAACGGTAAGTCACAACTTTAATTGATAATCTGTTTTGAAAGATAATTTTAACATGTTCTTATGCCCAGTTGAGAAAAAAAGAAAATTACCTCCCTGCCATTTCTTTCTCTGTTCTCTTGTTCTGTTTACATTGTAGGAACAAAATATATGGTCAGCTACTTCCATAATGACTCTCCATACCACCAATTTGCCTTTTTTTTTTTTTATAATTTCTTATAGTAGTAATTTTTATGGGAGTTACTTTCCTAGATTTTCTGATCTCTACATTTAAAGTCATAATTTATATATTGAGAATTGTGTTTCCCCCATATAAGTTAATAGGACATAATAATAATTTTAGATTCTCTTCAATCTCTTGTAGGTCGTTATTGGAGATCATGATGGGGTAGTTATGTGCTTTGGCATGAAAAAAGGAGAAGCAGTGGTATGTATAACTTTTTTTAGGAGAAAAAAATGATTTTCTAAAGAGAAACACACTACTTATTGAATACTTTTAGTTTAAAATTGTCCGAAAAATGCATTGTGAGGGAAGTAGTTACATGAAGTATTGCTATAGGCAACAAAGGAGTCATGTGCTAGATAGCTGTAAAACACCTTTGACAGCCTAGGGGTGATGTAATAGTTTCTGTGCTGTGTAACTGATTACTTCAAATTTTGGTGTTTAAAACAACACACATTTATTATCTCAGTTTCTATGGATCAGGATTCGGAGCTCAGTGTCTCACATGGCTACAGTGCCAGGCTCTATTCCTTTCTGGAGTTGGAGTCCTAATCCAAGCTAAAATAACAGGATTCAGATTTTTGCTTTTGTGGGACAGAGGTCCCCACTTTATTGCTGTCTGTAAGCCAGAGCCTGTTCTCAGCATCTTGAGGTCCCCACAATTCCTTGCCCTGTGGTTTTCTCACAAGCTCTCCCCTAACATGGTGACCTACTTCTTCAGGCTAGCAAGTAAATCTTCTCTTAAATAATTTAGGATACGTATTTTTAATAAGGTTTAACCATACTGATACCACTGCTTAATGAACTGTACTTATAGATGCAGGAGTTTAGATTTTAATGATGTGGCTGATGTATGTGTGGCAATAAATGCTCTAAATTTGGAAGATATTTAGCCAGAAACCTTGAAGACTTCCTGAAGTAAATATATTTGTATCTAAAGATGTTTCTATAGAACTATAATATTTTTTCTGTTTGAAATCACAGCATCTTTTACAGTAAAGGAAAATGGTTACAGTAAATTTGTGTACTTAATTTTTTCTCCAATGATTTTTGCAGGCAGTGTTCAAGACATTACCAGGGCAGAAGATTGCAAGATTGGAACTAGGAGGGGTTCTTAACACACCCCAGGAGAAAATTTTTATTGCTGCAGGATCTGAGATTAGAGGCTTCACAAAGAGAGGAAAACAGTTCCTCTCTTTTGAAACCAACCTCACTGAAAGCATAAAAGCTATGTATGTTTATCCTTTTTTATTTTTACATATCCATTTACAATATTTTGGATAGCTGACAAGCATCAGATGGAGTATCATATCCTAATAGGTTTCCTGGGAAATAAAATTGACTAAAGGTACCTTATTAGTCAGAAGTTAATTAACATAGAATCAGTACAAAATCAGTTGGTTGTTGAAATGTTTTTTTCTTAAGACCCTTATGGTATTTACACATTCATTTATTGACTGATTGGTTCAGTTGATTCATGAACAAAGTGTAAAAGAAAAAAGTAAAAGAAATCTAGAGATATTTAGGTTTCTGTTTCTTTGCTGTCTCTGGTCATTTTGGTTGTGAGGTAGTATCATTTGTTTAAAAACTGGCTGTCAAAGTTGGTAACTACAAATAGGATATAATTTCAGGTAAGTCAGGTAAGACCCTAAATAAAAAAAAAATGACTCCCTTAATGGCTTCCTGATATATGAGATTTTGTTTGCAAGTAAAATTTTAATTTTTTTAAGTCATGCGGAGCCTGGAAAGGATTTTAAGGTTTTTCTAATCCACTGTCCTCAAACCTACCACTTAGGACAATCCCTTGGAAACGTAAGAGATTTCTTGTCTTACTTATACCTGCAGAATCAGAATTATTAGGAGTGGTTAAAAGAGAAATGTTCACTTGACTGTGATGCAGCCAAGTTGTCTAAGCAACCAGACCTTGGTTTGAAAACTACTAATTTATAGAGTTCTGTGTGATACACAGCTGTCCTATATAATTCTATATAATGCACATTACAAATCCAGTATCCAGGGTAAGACTGTTTTGGTGATATTAGATAAAAATTATACAATGGCAATTGGGAGTGAGTTCAGTGGTTTAGTAAGAATGTATTATTTTTGAAATGGACAATTATAATTGTGAAATACTAAAAATCAAAATAATAAATTAGTAATTTGCATAACTCCACATTCGGAAAAGTATGTGGACTGATGTTTGAGAAGGATCAGGAGTTTCCCAGCCAATAGTCTCTTTTGCTAGTTTCTTAAATGTTTTTACTGGAGTGGCAGAGGTGGGAGGGAGGGGATCTTTACTCAATTTTCAAAAATTTATTGTCTGAATTTCCAGATTTTTAAGGGTGCACAGGAAATCAAGGTTATAACTTGAAAATATTCAATAAGAAACTGAGCATATACAAAGTTAGTTACCACTCACACATCTTTCCCTGCTTAATGCTTCCATCCTCTCCACTCTTGTCAACAACAGTGATTCCAATTATTACTTTGGAAAATGTGTAACTGCAATATAATTGCAAATGTAATGCAGATGGCTTTCAAGATGAAACTTCAAATCTTGAAAAAGATAGAATTTCATTAGATTAATAAAAATATTAAGAGGACTACTGAAATAATATCCAGAGCCTCAAAGTGAGGCTACTTAAGCAATAATTGAAGAAGAGAAAGTCAGTGAAGATCATAATAGCATAGGAAATAATTTTAGTACCACATTTTTTTAAGTAGACTTTAGAATGGTGGAGAAATAGATGAAACCTTCAAATTACCTTCTTTATGCTTACATGGTTTTAGCAACTTAGAAATGAAAGGTAATACACTAGTATATAATTTTTGTCAAATTTCAACTCCCTCAGTGGAAATTGGATTCAATATAAGAATTAGAACATAGTTATGATTATTGCCTAAGTTTTGTTCAGTGTAATTTGAAGTGCACTTGTCTTCATTCCCTTTTTCAGGATAAAATTCTAATGAATTTTTCTCCCACTGTTTATCACTTAAAGTAGATTTGCTTCTGATAGCCTTACCGGACAATTTCATGTAGTAGTAAGAAAGCTAACTCTAGAGCTAAAAGCTACCTGAGCTGCAGTCTACTCTACTACTAGTTGTGTGCCATTAGGCAGGTTACTTGACATTTTATTGTTCTCTGTAAAAAGGGATAATAATGGTCCCTAGTTGACAGAATTATGAAGATTAAGCTAATACATGTAATACATGTAAATCCATTAGGACAGTGCTTGGCACATAGTGCACATTCAGAAAAAGTTGCTTTTTGACATTTTTTTTCAAGAATAAATCAAGTGGTTTTATTTATTTTTTATATAAATTTATTTTTTTATTGGTGTTCAATTTTCCAACATCTAGAATAACACCCAGTGCTCTTCCCATCAAGTGCCCCTCTCAGTGCCCGTCACCCAGTCACCCCCACCCCCGGTTTTTTGACATATTAATTGTCTTCAGATACAATTATCATGGTCTTTGTTTTCAGTTTTACGGAGCATAATTTTTGAGATGCCTAAGGACTTAAGATCCTAATTTTCAGCTTTTTAAAATCAGTGTTATTTCAAAAGGCTGCAAATTAAGTTGGGGAAATGAGGGGAAAAAACTGTTCTTTAAGTCTGTGATAAAATGATAGAAATTAAGTAAACTTTTGTTTTCATCTCAAAAGAATTCAGGAATTTCCTATATTTTTTTTGGAAATATGGATGTTTTAAATTACTTTTAATGTTCTCAGGTATATATCTGGCTCAGACCTCTTTCTCAGTGCAAGTTACATCTATAACCATTATTGTGATTGCAAAGACCAACATTATTACCTTTCTGGGGACAAAATCAATGACGTCATCTGCCTTCCAGTGGAAAGATTACCTCGTATTACACCGATATTGGCCTGCCAGGACAGAGTGCTCAGAGTTTTACAGGTTTCTGTTATTTGCATTTTTATAGTTTTTCATAATTTATGTAAATGAATATAGCTGAACAATGTGTACTTGAGATAGATTACTTACTACTGCTTTAAATGTCCTACTTAAAATTATATTTGTAAAAAATACTTTTTAATTGGTAAGCTAATTTTTTTTTTTTTTTTTTTTTAGCTTGAGACAAATGTATTGAGAATTTTGGCAAATTTTTAGAGAGGCATATTTTAGAGAGGCATATTTTAGAGAGGCATATGGGAAAAAAGGATGCTTTTCTGTCCCCATGCATAATTTCTGAGTTAGTTCAGTCAGAATGGAGTCTTTGCTACAAAGGACACTTCTCACCTTTTTTTTTTTTTTTTTCTTTCTTTCTTCTTCCATTACTCTTTCCTCTCCCCAAAATCAAACTAATGGAGGAAATTGGTTTGGGGAGAGGATGTTAGGTTTTAACAAAGAAGGGATAGTTGTGATCAGAGTTGTATCATTTGCACTTATTCCACATTAATGACAGTTCTGGAACAGAATAAGCACTCAGTAAATATTAGTTAGAGAAGTAAATGAATGATAGAGGGAAAAATCATTTTATCATCCTTACATTTCTATTAAAAACATGATTGTTTAAAATAACTGCATAAGACATTGTTATTAGTAATAATATTTACAACTATGTCTTCTCAAAAGTGACTTTTAGTAAAATACATATACATACATATGCCAGGATCCATAAAATAAAGTTTATGCAAATAAACTACACATGCAAATAACCTAGAACGGATAGATTATTTGGGTCAGAAAGTTGGACTAATATTGGTACAGTTGAACAAAACATCTACCACTTTATTCTTTGCCATCACTAACTTTCTCACTCTGGAATTTCATAACTAGATGGCCATTTCTTGGCCTCAGTTCTTTAAATGGAAGGGAAAATCCAGTAGTTCTGTGAGGTTTTATTTTTTTTTCCTATGGGAAAACAAAGTTGACATTCAAGGTTCATTCTAGGGGCATGAATAATTAGTTTCTTCCATTGTCTGTACTCCCAAACATGAGTTGTCTGAATAAGGCTTTTAACAGGAACTGGGTAATATTCAATTAGGAATTGGTCTGGCTGATTCTAGGATTCTACTTTGTTTAACAAGAAGAGATGGATGTGCTTACTGTAAAAATAAAAAAAATCACTAAGGATTTGTGGGAACTTAAAACTTTGCCTTGCTAGTCACATATTCCTACTCTCCCTCAACTCCCCATTTGTAAGCAATCATTACCCCAGAGGTAGCCTTTTTAAAAAGTTTTTATGTGTATTTTTTGTGTTTATATAGTTGATATGTATGAATTTTCAGGTGTAATTTTAAATAAAAAAATAAAGTATGACTTTAACATGTTCTATATAAATTTAATTTTTTAAGAAAAATATCATTCCATATTTACTATAATTTCAGGGGTTTCTTTGTTGAATGATCTATCGTGGATATTTTTTCCACTTGAGTATGAGTACTTCTACCTCATTCTTTAGCAGCTTCACAAATTATGTATACTAAATGAAAACATTACAAGTGGCAAAATTTTTAAAAAGACAAATAAATGGGCGTAATTTGTTTTCCTGTCTAAATAACTGGCTCTCATTGGAGTTGGTTTTGGAAATATCCAAATGCAGGACCAACCTTCTCCTTTAGGAAGTAACTTTGGATCTGTTTAAATGTTTGAATGTGTTCTAAGTTAAACTGGACAAAAGAAACAACTTGTTCCAGGAAAGCTTTGATAGTAAAATTTACCAGTGTTAAGTTTTCAGGCAAAGTATTTAAAATGAAAATTATTTGAAGTGTAGAATATTATATATATTTCTTCTTGATCTTTACATTTTATATGTATTTTAAAACGAGTTAACATACACAAAATAGCTAAAAAATTCAAGTTAATCACAATCTAACTTTTTCTGGCAGTTTTTATTCTACAGTTCTTTATATGAATATTGATGTTTATCTATTAGTGTCAATGTTTTAAATTTGTATTCTGTTTCAGTTTTAAAATACTTGTTCTCCTTCAGGGGTCTGATGTGATGTATGAAACTGAAGTGCCTGGCCCACCTACTGTCTTAGCACTACATAACGGAAATGGCGGTAATGATAATCAAGGGAGTGTATTGTGTTAGGTCTAGATATTTCAGGTTTAATCATTTAACTATAAATAAAGTGAATGAAAATAGGAAATTGTAGAAAGAGCATGAACTAGAATTAAGACAGTTTTCAGGTAACTTGCCAGTAACTAACAGTAATGAATTATTGAACTTTAATTTTCAGTTTCCTCATCTTAAAATTAGATGATGAGGAAGGGTCTTATCCCTTATATTTATAAAATTCTGTGACTATGTAACCAACTTCCAAATTAAGTGTCTGACTTTTTATATTTTTTAAATGAGATTTTTATGTGATATTAAAAAATTTCAGCTATAAAGAGATTATGAGTCATGGAATAAATATAATATGTTGACTTTAATTATAATCAGGAGACTCTGGAGAAGAACTTTTGTTTGGAACATCAGATGGAAAACTTGGGCTTATTCAGATCACTACCTCCAAACCAATACACAAGTGGGAAATTCAAAATGAGAAAAAGCGGGGAGGTAGGTTCGTGATATAGTTTAGATTCTGAAATTTCATTGATTATTAAATATCCTAATTTATATAGTTCATTCTGTTTAATTTTTCATAGTACGTAGTAGACTTAGTAATTCACAAAGCCACCTTATTATTTATTTATCAGTTCTGTCATATTTTGGCATAATCTTTAATTAAGAAATGCTAATAGTAATTTAGGATAGATAGGCTTTTATGGGCTATTGTCCATCTATAACATCATTCTGTGGTCAAATCCATTATTCACTGTTTGGTGTAGGAAATTCATTGGAATTTGAGAGTATTCGATATGAAGCAAGGAGAAAGTCCAATGGGTCTTTTCTGTTCAACGGGAATATTTCTGTTTCCTAAGGAATTTATAACTTTCTGAGGGAATTTATATCTGACTTAGAAGTTAGTAAGATGGCTATTTATAGGTATGGTAATTCTGTTCAGGAAAGCCTGGGTGGCTCAGTGGTTGAGCGCCTGCCTTTGGCCCAGGGCATGATCCTGGAGTCCCAGGATCTAGTTCCACATCGGGCTCCCTGTATGGAGCCTGCTTCTCCCTCTGCCTCTCTCTCTCTCTCTCTCTCTCTCTCTCTCATGAATAAATAAAGTCTTTTAAAAAAAGTAATTCTATTCATTTATTCCTTCAACAAGCACTTATTAGGAGAGACAGAGAATAAAGAAATAAATAAGATAGCTTCATCCAGTCACCTGAAAAAATATCAGCGGGTGATGTATTAGTGATGGGTGAGGGAAGAAGACTATATTTAGACTGTGTGGTAATGGAAGGCATCTTTTAAGAGGTAAAATTTGAGCTGAGATCTGATTGATAAGAAAAAGAGTTGTAATATAAAAATTTGAAGGGAAATTATGCTCCAGGAAGAGGAAAAAAAAATCAAGACTTGAGGCAGAGGTAAACTTGATTCATGTGAAGAACAGAGGGAAGACTAGTGTGGCTAAATGCATTAGCATGGCAAGCAAAGATGTCAGGGAAGTAGCATAGAGCCAAATCATGTAGATCCTTGTGGGCCTTGGAGAAGGGTTTGAATTTTAATCTAAGTGCAGTGGGAAGTCCTTGGAGAATTATAAGTGGGAGTATGACATGACCTAATCTACCAAAACAAAACAAAAAAACCTACCAGGGAGAATGGATCTGGGGGGAGGCAGATCAAAATTGGAAGCATGAAGATCAGTTAGGAAGTCATCGTTATAGTTGTTATAATTTATTTTAGTCTAGGCTAGAGATATAAGCCACCTGGGCTAGGCTGATGGTAGTTGGAAATGGAAAGGAGGCAGTTTCAGTATATGTTTTAGAGATAGAGCTGATAAGATTTGCTAAGGGATTTGGTCTGGACAGTGAGAAAATAGAAGAATCAAAGAAATGGTCTAGATTTTTGGCCTGAGGAACTAGGTGATACCTTACTGAGATGAGGAAAATTGGGGAAGAAGCACTGAAAGGGTGTGAAAAAGGTGAATGAAGAGTTTTCATTGGGGATGGAAATTTTGAGATGCAAATGTATGTCTCAAAGAAAATGCTGAATGGAGACTTGGCTGCATGAGTCTGAAGCTCTGAGGAGAGGCCAGAGCTGTGGAGATATAAATTTATGATCCATTTCTATTTAGATTATATTTAAAGTCTTAGAAATAGATGAATGTGGACGGAAAAGAGGACACCTGATAGTGCTCCCAGTTTTTTTTTTTCCCCATTCTGATTTGGTATATACATTTTTTTCATCTTTACTTAGTGTATACTTGACATAATGTTAGTTTTATTAATAACTTGTCACCTCTATCATCTTTTTTAAAGGTATTTTGTGTGTTGATAGCTTTGACATTGTGGGTGATGGGGTTAAAGATTTACTTGTTGGGAGAGATGATGGAATGGTGGAAGTATACAGTTTTGACAATGCAAATGAGCCTGTTCTACGTTTTGATCAGGTTAGTTCATTAAAAAAAGACTAAATAAACTTATTCATCAAATAATTAGAGATGACTGGGATGGTTTGGGTTTTATTAAATATATTAAAATCTTGTGTTTGGCTTAGAATAGTGTACCTTTGATATTATTAAAATCTCTAGACCACTCATGTGTTTGAATAATAGACTACTGTCTTCCAGCTACATAATAAATTACTGCTTCATTTGGTTTCTAAATATTGTATTTTGAAGTATTAAATATTTTCATTAGTTTTATAATGCATAGTAGAGTACAGGAGTAACATATGTTTGGTAACATAAGCAAAACTGTTGTTTGAAAATAATAATGTTTTAGGAGTAAACTCATATTGTTAGGACAATGTCAAAATATCCTTAAGCAGAGAGAGAAAAGTTGCAATTTCACTTTTAGGCATCCAAGAGTTTACTATATGAGAAGAATTACTAGTTAAGAGTAATTTCAGTTCACAAATTTTGAATGTAGTTAAGCTTGCTTATCCTAAGAGAGTTACATGGGAAATCATTCTGGTGTAAATGTCATCTTTCATTTTCATGAAGTGGTATTCGCCAGTCCAGGGTGTCCCATTTTGCCTCAAGCGGGATTCATTGAGGCATTTTTAAAAAACAGAAACAACAAAACTACAACTCTAACAATTTTCCCTAATTTCTCTACTAGTGCTACCTTTCAGTTCCAGCTTTAACTGCACATCAGCAAACATAGATGTTTTGATGTATAGAGAAAGTATATTACATAGATAATATGGGAATAAAAATTCCCCAAAGGCTTCATATCATCTTCTTAATTCATTTAAAAAACTATTTGGAAAAACACATGAGAGGTGGTATATGGGATTCAGGTAATAGGCTAAACATATTGGGAGTTTTGCTTATGTAATTTTTTTAAAAAAACTTCTTTCTTGGGGTGCTTAGGTGGCACAGTTGGTTGAGCATCTGATTTGGTTTCCTCTCAGGTCATGATCTCAGAGTCATGGGATTGAGCCCCACATCAGGCTCTGCACTCAGGAGTCTGCTTAAGTTTTTCTCTCCCTCTCACTTTGCCCTCTCCCTCCCTATGCTATACCCATGTGGACTCATTCTTTCTAAAATAAATAAATACATCTTTAAAAACAGAAAGCAAAACTTTCTTTCTTTATATAAATAAAGGATTTTTGCTCATTAGGTGACATATAAATAAATGATTTTTGCTTATTAGGTGACTGCTGTGGCTAACTACAACACACAAATATATGAGTCATTTCTAATCTTCTTTCTCCAAATTTGAAAGCACTGGGATTTTCTGCCATTTGTGCAGGATTTTTGCCTTCCAACCTCAGTGTTTCCACATGATAAATACTCAGTAAATGTATGTTGAATGTCTGGAGATGGGAAAATAAGTTTTATGGCTTATTTTATATGTCTGACAACTTTTTATTTACAGTTATTTACAGGTACTAATGAACTGCTTGATCTTAAATTTATTTTAGATGTTGTCTGAAAGTGTCACATCTATCCAGGGTGGTTGTATAGGGAAAGATGGCTATGATGAAATTGTGGTATCCACATATTCAGGTAAGGTAAACAGTAATAGGTAAAGAAAGAATCAATAAGAAAATAGAAATTTAATACATTATTTTTGATGACTACTTTTTTAAAAAAGTGTCATTAGTAAATCAGTCTTACCAACAGCATTCAAACCTTTCTTTATTGGTTAAAAAATAAGGAGGTAAGGAATGGGTATATTGATATATTGATTTATAAAATATTTATAAAAAAGTTAATATTTGAATAATACTTAATTGAGAGTACTTAGCATCCTCTAGTATCTTTGAAAATTAAATGATAGTCTTTGGTTAAAAATAAGTATTTACTGAAATTATTTTATGTTTTCTTATTGTATACATTTCTTATAAAAATTTCCTTGGTTTTGAGTTGGTCATTTTTATATTTTCAATATAGTCAATGGGAAAATTTAACTTTCCATGAAAATGAATTTTAAAAGACTGTTTTAATTCATCAGGTATTTGCTAGAATGTTTTGACTTTTTCCATACTTGAAAACTAACATTATAAGATTTCCTGAATCATAGTATTATAGTATTTCAGGCAAAATAACTAGTATCTCAAAATACTTGTTTTTTTGTTTTTTTTTTTTTATTGTTTGAATATTTTCCAGCTTGATTTCTGTTGTTCTTCATTTTGTTTTGTTTTGTTTTTTGGGGAATAAGTCCTAGGACTAAATGAGTTTGTTCTTCGTGGACAAAGATACGTGTACATTAGGGTCTTTTTAAACACTAGCAGCACTTAATGGTGCATGATTATAATTTCATCTCTACAGGCTGGGTTACAGGTCTGACAACAGAGCCTATACATAAGGAAAGTGGACCAGGAGAGGAACTAAAAATTAATCAGGAGATGCAGAATAAAATTTCTTCTTTAAGGTAATTTTGGATTTTTTTGTTGCTTTTTTTTTTTTTTTTCACTTCATGAAGTGCATGTTTTTTTATTTAATTACTAATAGATGCAGAATATTGTGCTCACTTTGGCAGCACATATACTAATAGATGCAGAATATTTTATTGGAAGGAATTATACCTTAATCCATTTATCACCTTTTTAAATGAAAGTTTATCAGTTTGAGAAAATTAGCAGTAAGTGCTAATTAATATTTTAAAGTTAGAAATATACTTTTATTTTTTATTTTTTTTTTAGAAATATACTTTTATATGCCTTATTCTATATTGACTTTTTCTTATATCAAAAATTGTATTTTATCACTCGTTTAGTTATAGATAGTGGTAATGTTTTGTTTTTTTCACAGGCATTAGAAAGAAACCAACACAGATGGCTGTATTCCTCATTAATTGTAATGTTTACTGCTCCTATGGACAGACCAGATTTCTTACTGAAAATGAGTAATGTTGATTCCTTTAGACACAGGGATTGCTTCTGTGGCCTATTTAATTTGACAAGTCCTATGAAAAGGGACCCCAGACTCAAGTAAAATTACTTCATATAATGAAGAAGTGGGAATTGCTGAAACTTTAGTAACTACTCTCCCTACTTCAACTCTTACCAACCTCTTGGGGCAGTGAGGGCCGATCTTTTTTTGGTGGTAGTTAAGGGCTACAGAAGTTTTTAAGGCAGCAAAATGCCATAAGTACTGATTCACTAAAGCCACACCACAAGTTTACCACAAGCCAGTTTAGCAAAGCCACCTGGAAAGCAAGCTCCAATGTTTGTACAAGAAAACCAAGTAGAGTTAATGTCTACTATTTCACATTCTCAGTATGATACCATCCGTTTATAGCCCAGTCTTTCCCTCCTGATTCCAGCGGAATATTGAATGAGAAGCTTATGTCTGTTTTGTTTATTCAGCACTTGCAATATAGGTACATATGGAGCACTCAGTAGATATTGCTTGGACAAATAAATCTTTTCCTTTGTTTATTGCACAAATCTCTTCCAAGCTCTTCCCAGACTTTTCCCCCTAACTTGGGGCTGGCTAAGACTCATGTTGTTGTTTCTCAGTTAATCTTTGTTTCATTTGCATATGCTTTTCCCTTAAATTGGAGTGGCTCTAAGCAATGAAGCAATGCCTTTGTAGTGCAGTCTATAGAACTTCAGCTATAGCACTGGCTCATGATCATTTTGTGGTCCCCTAAATGTGAATACGCTGCAGCCTCCTCCTTCTTTTGTTTCCTTCTTTTGTCTGTCTTGCCTAATTCTTATTGAAAGGTAATGTTTCTGGTTTTGCACATTTTGTTTCTTCAAATTAAATCTAATACATTTCTCTGTCCCAGTACAATCAGTTTCTCTTCTGATTAGTGTTATGTGTAACTGTACCTAGACTGGTGTGTTAGAATTGATTATTTGCAAGCTGCTTTGATACTTATAACTCTTTATTAATAATGCTGGTATAGTACTGAGCTTTAATTTTTAAATTAAAGATAAATAATGTGGAATTGGTCAGTCACAGAAGCAAAATTTTGTTCCTATTAGTATCATAGTTCTAGTTCAACTAATAAAAGTCCATTTTGCAGAAGTAAATGTCTCAAATGCTTGAAATCATTCTAAGAACTTCAAATATGTATACTTATAGGTGATAGAGTTGTATATATTTTCCTTTAGGAGTGAGCTGGAACATCTGCAGTATAAGGTACTACAGGAAAGAGAAAAATATCAACAGTCTTCTCAATCAAGCAAGGGAAAATCAGCAGTACCTTCATTTAGTGTAAATGACAAGTTTACATTAAATAAAGATGATGCCAGCTATAGTCTCATCTTAGAGGTGCAGACAGCAATAGATAACGTCTTAATACAGGTAAGCAAAATGGCTAATTTATTAGTTTTATGATTGGATCTATTTTGCAGACCAGTCATATGCACTAATTACTACTAAATACTTTTAATTTTAGACAGTAATTTTAAGTGTTCATCTTTTATTTATTTTAAGTGTTCATCTTTTAAATGTTGCATTTAGTTTAGATAATTTTAAAGGCTTATCTTAATCTTTGAGTAGATAATCAGTTTGGTCATAGATTACCTAAATTATATCTTTACTTTTTATTTATCCTATGAGCACTAAATAAGACTGACGTACTTAAGTTTCAGGAAACATCAGAAAGAACGTTAAGGGTTTTGTTCTTTGGTTGACCTTTATGAGAATTTTAAGAGATGTGAAAGAAAATTGTAGTATTTAATACCCTTATTATAACCTTTTTTTTTTAAGCTCCAGATCCTAAGATGGGAGCTTACAGTACAGCTTGCTCATTAGCCACTAGTTTCCAGGTAGGTCAGTAGACAAAGTGGATAATCCCAAAGGTAGAATTGAGGGATAAAATATATAACTCCACTCAACAATATATTTAATTAGTTTTTCTTTAAATTGGATGATATTCAGGGAGTGGAGAAGGATGATAGTGGGATGAATGGAAAACAAGCAAAAGATCAAAACCCATCAGAAAATGAGAAAAAGGGATCCCTGGGTGGCGCAGCGGTTTGGCACCTGCCTTTGGCCCAGGGCGCAATCCTGGAGACCCGGGATCGAATCCCACGTCGGGCTCCTGGTGCATGGAGCCTGCTTCTCCCTCTGCCTGTGTCTCTGCCTCTCTCTCTCTCTCGCTCTCTGTGTGACTATCATAAATAAATTAAAAAAAAAATTTAAAAAGAAAATGAGAAAAAAACATGAGGAAGAAGACAAGGTTTAAAAAGATTTGGGGAGAGATCAGATTTTTAATTAAATCTAAAGGCTGAAACCTGTCTTAAGTAATGCTAGCTTAAGGCTTGCATTAAACAGCTCTTGGTACATCCATTTACTTTGAACTGAGTGCAACAGCAGTGTCCAAGAAACAGCTCTAGGCACATCCATTTACTTTGAACTGAATGCAACAGCAGTGTCCAAGAAACTACTCTCCAGAGGAGATTAAATATTATCTCCTTTCTGTGTTACAGGTGAAAATAAAATTCATAAAAATGAACTGATATAGTAAGAATAGCCACATTAGGAAGATTATACTTTTAAGGGGGTGGTAAGAGATGATAGTCTATGATCTCTGGTAATCCAAATAAGAAAGAAATAAGTCATTGGGATATAACATTTATTCTTTATTGCATTTATTTTCTAGAAGTATACATTGTCATCATATATAAATTAAAAAATTCACATGTTCAAATTTAAAGATGACTATGAAATAGAATTAAAGAGAATACTTAGAAAATATTTTGTGAAAATTTCTACTTTTCCATCTGAACCTTTTTGTTTTTTTTTAAATTGACTGTAGAGTGATGTTCCAATAGACTTACTTGATGTGGATAAAAATTCTGCTGTTGTCAGCTTTAGCAGCTGTGATTCTGAGGTGAGTAGAAAGTATAAAGAATTTTTCATACACTTTCATTTCTATGACACCATTTTGAATTAAGTCTGTGAATGCTACTAGGGTTTGATATTTCTTCTTCAATCTTTTTTCATAATCTTTCCCTCAAAATCTGCATCTGCTCTTTTCCTGTATTTTCAGATAATCCATAAAACTGGGGTGTCATCCTAGATTCCTTCTTTTCTCTGATTTAAGTCCAGTTAGTTACTAGTTTATGCCAGTTCTATCTCCTTGGCTCTTACACCTCTATTCTGCTTCATTTCCACTTTTTTTTCATTTATTTCTTATCTTATTAATTTTCTAAAGGTTTTATTTATTTATTTGCTTATTTACTTATTTGAGAGAGAGAGCATGAACAAGGGGAGGGGGAGAGGGAGAAGCAGACTCCCTGCTGAACAGGGAGCCCAACTACAAGGAGCTCAATCCCAAGACCCTGAGATCATGACCTGAGGCAGACACTTAACTGACTGAGCTACCCAGGTGCCGCTTCATTTCCACTTGTTTTAACTTTCCAGGCCCTTATCATGTTTGCTTGAACAGTAGTTTTTTTGACTCCCTTTTGTGGAAATCTTTTTTTTTTAAAAACTCAAAGCCAGTTTTTCTGCCTCCAGTATTGCCTCTCACCTCTAGGCTCTGTTGTATACTGCCACCAGAGAGGTCTTCCTAGAGTATAAACGTTTCTGTGTCATTTCTTTTCTTAAGACCTTTAAAGATCCTTATTACCTGCTGCATATAAGTCTAGATTTCTCTTTGTAGCATAACAACTTCCTATGATTCAGCTCTTGGTTATATCTCTAGCTTATCTCTTGCCAGCTGCTACTTTTCCTCCCATGCTCATATTTCTGCCAAACCGAAGTTCTTTAAATTTTTAAATTTCTTGAAAATGCTATATAGTTTCACACATCCTACATTTGAACATGGTCTGTTCCTTCTGTCTGTTCTTTTTCACCTTTTCTGGGCTTGCTGGATCTTGCTTAACTTTCATTTAGTAGACATTTGTTGAGTACTCACCATGTGCAAAGTACCTTGGATGAGATTGTGACTTTTGGATATGCATACTATATCACTTCTTTCTGCTTAGTACTAGCTAACTAGCAGTCTCAGAGTGAAGTGTGGCTCCTAAAGAGAGGTTAGGGTAAAGTTAGGGTCTGGAGTAGTTGTATTGGAGAAACACAAGCTAGAGCAGGAGATGGTGACTAGAGTTGGCAGGTAGTTATACACATAAAAAAGGGAGGAATAAAGAGTAGATGAAGGACAAAATTGGTGCCTATAATAGGGAATAGTTTTCAGTATAATTACATAGTAAAGGTTTTTTTGATAAGAGATTTTATAACAGTTATATTATGTAATATTTATGGTTTTTCATCCCTGTTTGAGAATAAAACATAAAAGATTGGGACTTACATTTTTTATTTTCATTTAAAAAATCAAATTGATCTTAAAAATCTTAATTTCTAAGTTGCTATGAAAGATGAACTGATTTTATTTCCACCACTGAAGGATTCTTTGAAATGAGTATTTTATGCTAATTTAGAACCCATTTTCTAGAATGATGGATTTATTTTTTTTATTTTTTTTTTTAAATTTTTTTATTAATTTTTATTTATTTATGATAGTCACAGAGAGAGAGAGAGAGGCAGAGACACAGGCAGAGGGAGAAGCAGGCTCCATGCACCGGGAGCCCGACGTGGGATTCGATCCCGGGTCTCCAGGATCACGCCCTGGGCCAAAGGCAGGCGCTAAACCGCTGCGCCACCCAGGGATCCCTAGAATGATGGATTTAAAAGAAAAAAAATAAACCTGTTATGGAAATTCCAAGTATATACAGAAGTAGAGACAATAGTATAATAACCTCCATGAACTCATTAACTTCAACATATGGCCAGTCTTGTTTTATGGTCTTCTCCTTCTCCCATCTCAAGCCCAATCCCAGATTTTTCATATATTTTAATCTTTATCATCTTATCCATAAATATTTAAATATATAATATTTGTTCTTAACCACACGAAAGTATAAGTTCATAGAATTCTGTTTACTAAATTTAAATGATTTGAATTTAAAATATTCAAATTCTCTTTTTGATATTGGCATCCTTTTAATTTCTTCAGTTACTTATTAAAAATAGGGAAATAGTAGTACACAAAAGTTGCATGCTAAATATTTCATGTTGCTTTGTTTTTGCAATTCCTGCACACAACATTTCTCTATTTTTAGCAGTTTAATATTGTTTTCAGGAAGTTATATTTGAAGTAAGCTCTCCAATTTAATTTGACAAACCTGTAATGAATGCTTATAGTATCCCAGGCACTGTGCTATTTGCTATTTGCTGTTTGTCCTCTATAAGTATTTGTGAAAGTTAAAGACAGTCAATACCAAACACTGATGTTTTTGTCTTTTAATATTATAAACATTAGAAGTATGTGCTGTCAGTTAAAGTTTTAGGACAATTAATATTTAAATGTTATTGTAGAAGCTCAGGATGGAAAGATCATGAGCATTAGAGTCTTAAAAGATACAAATTTGGATTCCACTTTAATTGCTTACTATCTTTTGGGAGATTCTCCTAACCTATGATGTTGCAGTTTCTTGGTCTGCTAAAACTTACTTAGTAAATAAAACTTTGCATAGGGTTGTTTGCAAGAATAAGAAAAAAGCACTTATCACAGTGTCATCCAATGATATGTGCTTAGTAAATGTTAAGTAGCCATTATTGTTGATGATGTTTTTGTCATTAAAAACATGAATTCATCCTTTTTCCTCAACTTTGAATTCTTCCCAGTCAAATGACAACTTTCTTCTCGCCACTTATCGGTGCCAGGCAAATACCACAAGGCTGGAACTCAAGGTAAAAACATTTGAAATTTAAAAAAAAAAAAAAAAAACATTTGAAATTACCTTTAATTGAAAACTTGAACTTTTTTCCTTTTGGTATATCTTGCAACATATGGTCTCATTTCTTTGTATTTTTTTTTCTCCCTGAAATGAATTGGAGTAATGACTTTTGGATGACAAGTTAGGTTTCAACTAGCGCCAACCATCATCATCTCTGCTATTGGCTTCTCTAGAATTACCCATCCTGAATTTCTTCTAAGTGGAATTCTTTTTTTCTAATTTTCTATTATGAAAGTTTCAAATGTACATAAAAGTAATGACTTTAGTTTCGGCAGTCATCAACTCATAACATTCTTGTTTATACTGTCCTTGTCCATTCCAAATTATTTTGAAGCAAATACAAGATATTTTATAATTTCATTTGTAAATATTTCAGTACATATGTCCAAAAGATACTATCTGTTAAAACGTAAGCACACTACTATTATCACACCTAAGGAAAATTAACAATAATTCCTTACTATCATCAAATATTTAGTATTTAGATTTCACTGACTTTAATGTTTATAGTTTGATCCAGTCAAGGTCCAAATACGATAATTTGGTTACTGAAGTATCAGAGTATTTGCCCTATATTTTTCTACCACCCAGATTTTTCTGATTGTGTTCCAATAATGTCATTTATTACCATATATTCTAAAGAAAATATTTTAATTTTTCTTTAGTAATTTAGTAATATCTCTTATAATTAAATACTGATTATAGCACACAAATCTATTTTAGTTACTTAATTTGTGTGAGGTTTTAAAAAAATTATTTTTTATACATTTATGATCTAAAAATTAAGGGTTGTAACTGTTTTCCTTGTGTTGCTGATGTTCAGAAACTCAAAGCCTGTTTTTCTCAAGAGAGATGCTGTAGTTAAGGAAGTTCCAATTAAATGTAGGTTTTTTTCTAAACAATTTTAGTCTGCATAAGTTCCTTCTTGTGGATTTTGAAAGCAAAGTTGAAAACTAGAATAAATTTATTTCTAAACAAATATACTTAAAACATATTTTTTGTAACTTCATTAAACATTTTAAGTTACATTTCCACTGAACAACACTGCCAATAAATTGGGAAGTAGGCCTAAAAATATTAAAAAGCTGTGTTCTTTTTTTAAAAATTGGATGCAATAATAGATGTGAAAAAATTACAAAAAGAGAAGAAAAAGTTGGAACTTATCTTGCCATATGCTAAAACATAACACAAAACTACTATAATGAAAATAGTGTAGGGTATTTATAAGACCTAAATAGGGGGATCCCTGGGTGGCGCAGCGGTTTGGCGCCTGCCTTTGGCTCAGGGTGCGATCCTGGAGACCCGGGATCGAATCCCATATCGGGCTCCCGGTGCATGGAGCCTGCTTCTCCCTCTGCCTATGTCTCTGCCTCTCTCTCTCTCTCTCTGTGACTATCATAAATAAATAAATTAAAAAAAATTTTAAAAAAAAAGACCTAAATAGGTAGAGCACCATAATAGAAATAGAGCCCACTATACATTTATGGAAATTTAATGTATGATATTTTTATGTAAGGGAAAATTCTATTAAATTTCTATTTCTATTTAAAAATTGATGTTGACACAACTGGCACCTATCTGGAATAAAATCAAGTGGATTCTTATATTAATGCCATATTTAAAAAATAAATTCACATGAGTTAAGTACTTTATTTTTAAAAAGAAGGAAATTTAGTTGTCTTCTAGGTAATGGGTAAATATCAATAAAATACAAAGACTGTGTATAACTTGTTATTAAAAAAAAAAAAAAGATTTCCACAAAAGGGAGTCAAAATAGCTAACAAATACTAAAAGAAGATGTTCTACCTTATTATTTGTTAGAGAAATTCAAATTAAAATAAACAGAAAACATTTGCTATCTAAGAGACTGGCAAAAAATTTTAAAAGGGAACATCACCAGATGACAGGGATGAGAAAAAGGACACTCTCAACCATAGCTGAAGGAAATAAAAATTGTTATAACTACTTTGGAAAACTGGCAAAGTCCCATTTGGAAGAATCTATTTTATGGCAACAAAATCACACTATCATACACACAGATGTATATTTCATTAACTGCAGCAATGGAACCAAGGTGGACATTCAGTAATTGAATGATTGAATAAATAGCTGTTTATGCATTCCATGGAATGTAACACAGGTGCAATAAAGAATGCATTGATCTATTCCTCTTAACATGGAGTAAACTCCATGAAAAATGAAATGTGAATGAAATCCCTGTATATGTAAATACATTTTACCTATAGTGGTATAAATATGAAGAAAGATATGAAAATACACACACCTGTCTGATATAACAGGTTATGAAATAGGGGGAAAGCATGGGTGGGATGGGAGTGGGTGGCATTGGAGACGCAGAGATAAGGGAAAAAAGTAATTATTAGAAATAAAAACAAAGATGTCTGATAGAAAAAGAATTTATTCCTATGCAATTACGCTTTTATTTTTATACATCTGCATAGAGAAATGTGTGAAGGCATGACCAATATAGCAGTAATGATCATCTCTGGGTGGGAGGATTTTAGGTGACTTCTATGTTTATCATAATTTTTCTTTACTTATATTTTTAATAGTGAGTATGAATTATTATATAATCAAGGCAGTATGACTTTTTATTGTGGAAACAATTATGTGCCAGTGTAAGCCTATATTTTAGAACCAAATCCTGAAATATGGCTGTATCAGATATATTTTTAATTTCCTATCTGTATTTGTATCTTTTCTCTTTTTATCTTTCCTCTCTTTCCATTTAGAGCAATATTTGCAGTATAACATTTGCAAAAAACCTTGCTTTAAACTTTTATGTTTCCCATTAGGTAAAACATTGATTCTCTGCTGCCCCCACCCCCCGACACGCTAGGAAAAGTGTGAATTAAAATATCAGCTAGCTTAGAGAAGCTACCATGGTAATACAAGAGGTACTACAGTCCATCTCATGAATTTGAACTGAGAGGAGCAGAAAGTGGGCCAGGAGGGAGAAGCCGGATGGCTTTCCAACCCCTCCCCTCTAAAATTAGTTCTTCACAGTTTAATGAATTATTATTTTCTGTTAAGTGTTTTGAATTCTCAGGATGTCCAACCAGGTACATTTAAAATATCTCAAAAGAATTTCCTAATTCAAATATGTAATAATTAGATGGTGTTTATTTCTCTATTCTCATGGAAAATCAAGAATTAAGTTCTTAGATTTTTTTCTGTCAATAGGTTTTTTTTTTTTTTTTTTAAGATTTTATTTATTTATTTGGGAGAGAGTAGAGTGGTGGTGAGGGGCAGAGAGTGAGGAAGAAGCAGATTCTCCTCTGAGCAGGGAGCCCAACACAGAGCTCAACCCCAGGACTGAGATGACCTTGAGCCAAAGACAGACGCATAACTTACTGAGCCACCCAAGTGCCCCTCTGTCAAAAGATTTTTATAATAGCTTTATGCTGTAATACCCTTACTTAACGAGAAAATGAAGTATTCCATTTAAGTTTTAATTATTTGAAAAACTTATCCTCTCAATGAAAATGTTTAAATTTTAACCACTTTTTATGTGAATCTTATGAAATTACATTATACACCTATGTTTTTAGATGTGATAGGGTAGTATGTGAGAATCTATGTTTTTTGGACTGGCATAGCACTGCTAAATGTAGACAAATCACCTAAAAGTATGTCATGGAGATAACTTCTATAGATAGATAAAGTTTACCTTTGACTACCCAAATCTTTCTATTTTTTTAAATTTTTTTAAAGATCCTATTTATTTATTCATGAGAGACACAGAGAGAGAGGCAGAAGCAGGCAGAGGGAGAAGCAGGCTTCCTGCAAGGAGCCTGATGTGGGTCTCGATCCCAGGACCCTGGGATCATGACCTGAGCCAGAGGCGGATGCTCAGCCACTAAGCCACCCAGGTGCCCCGCCAAAATCTTCTTTAAATTTTCCTTTACTCTAGATAAAAAGCAGTTGTTAAATAGAATGTCATTATTTACTTCAGAATATTACAGAAGAGATTAAGGTCTAATTACTTGGTTACTTGTGTTGAACATTTTAAAGATGACATTTATGTTTTGTTGCTAGATTTTTAAAATTTTCTTTTCTCTTTTGTGTTAAATCAGATTCGTTCAATTGAAGGCCAATATGGCACACTTCAAGCATATGTGACTCCAAGGATTCAACCTAAAACCTGTCAGGTCCACCAGTACCTTATCAAACCGCTTTCACTCCATCAAAGAACTCACTTTATTGATCATGACAGGTAGGACAAAGGAAGAAGCAGTTTATTTTTTAGGATATTACATGATGCAAATACATTTTTCACTTTTATAGTACAAATTCTGGTAGCTAGTTATACATTTTAAAAATTAAATATTTAAACATTATGGATTCATAATTTTAATATAAGATTTGTCTTCTTTTAAAGGTTGATTTAAGGTGAATTCTCCTGTCTTTCTCAAATATTACCATTCTGATATCAGCAGAGCAATAGTTCTCTCTCCCAAACACCTATGATGAATAAATACGATTTAGCATTTCAGTTTCTCTCTGAATAGGCTCTTACTGTTACAGGATTTCTTTCTACATGGGTGCCCGCCGTTCTTTGTCATGCCATTTTAAAGAATGAAAAGATAGACCAGACAGTGGTGGGTAGCAAAGCAAGCTTATTGAGCAATAGCAAAACTATAATACAAAGCTCCCAAAGAAGGAGGGAACCTGAGAGGGTTATCAATGGAGTTTCTAAGTCTGGGGGTTTCTATGGGCTGTTTTAATCTGATTACTCATCCCTGTGCCTGTCATCCAATCAAGTTTTTGTCCCCTATCACGTGGGAAAGGGTGGAGGGCTCCTTCCAGGGAGGTGTAAAATCCTTTTAAGTGTGGTTTAGTCTCCTTGGGGGGGGGGGGGGTGCTTGTCCCTGCCTGCTTGCCTTCAGCTATCCTTTATCATTATTATATTAGTCTCAAACATTATGTTTTCTATTTTACCTCAGGGAATACTGGTAAAGCAATTGGTTGTGATAGTCCCTTATTTCTGGATTCCATTTCAAGTTAAGCATCCTTCTGTTGGTAGTTTTTCATTTTCTTTCCTAAAGATGAGACGCCATGGACTTAAATATAAGTCTGACAAGCAAACAAGACAGGTAGTAATGTCTCCATTTTATAGATGAGAAATGGAGGCTTGGAAAAGTTAACTAACTTGTTTACAGAAAATAGTTATGGTTGGAGGCCAAAGCCCATGTTTTTTTATATTGCAGTTGGTAATTTTAAAGATATGTAATTTAAATAAGATATAAGGAGAAATATTCTTAGTGAAGATTTTGAGAAAACATTAAAGAGAATAGATTCTTTATGGTTTTCTTCCTGTTTTAAAGTCTAACTTGTTAATGGAGGTAGTACATGGTGTGCTGGAAAGAACAGCAAACTGGGAATCAAGAGACCAAGATTATAATCTTACATCTTATCTAATGTTCCTTTTTGACTTTGGGGAAAGCATTTAATCTCTCTGGTTTTAGGTTTCTTATCTGCAAATGAGAGGGTTGATCTGGATGCTCTCAAAGGTCCCATCTTGTTCTTAGATTCTTTAATTCTGTGTCTTCTTAAAATTCCTCTGAATCCTTAATTCCTTGCATTTTCTTAACTGTTCACAATCATCTATTTATTTTAAATGTATTTGACTTATTTTACAACCTTTTGTGTACATGTGCATATGTATGTGTGTGATTTTGCAAAGTAAGAAGTATTGTATTCCATATTCCTGCAAGATAGGTATTTTTCTCTAACTTGCCCAGTGCTTCACAGCTAGTAAACAGCTAGAAAATAATGGAGCAAGGTTTCAAATCCATGTCTATTTTACTTGAAAGCCCAATTCTTCACCTTCACATTATGCTGATTCTTTCCTTCAGGAAATTCTTGTTCAAGTATATTTTGGAGTTTATATAGATGAACTTTTAAAAAATGAAGTCTACCTAAATAAACTGAATTTTATTTGTAAAGCTAATATTTTACTTAATATTAAAAATACTTTTTTTAAAAAATAAAAAATAAAAATACTTTTTTCATGAAACTGAAATTTTTATTTATCTGATGATTAATATTAATCTGAGGAAAATTAAATGGATATTTTTCTATTTGTTGAACCACTATGCAGAATTCTGTTTGTTCATGTGTTATGCACATAAATACCTTCACATATTCCCACACACAAATCTGTACCCCCACTATTAAATTACAGACCTATGAATACACTGACTTTAACGGGCCAGTTCAGTTTTGCTGAAGTTCACTCCTGGGTGGTTTTTTGCCTACCTGAAGTTCCTGAAAAACCTCCAGCAGGAGAATGTGTGACATTTTACTTTCAGAACACCTTCCTGGATACCCAACTTGAAAGTACCTACAGGTAAATAAAACTTATTACTGGCTTGCAAATATTTTTATATAAATGGAGTTCTAATTTTTCATTTGTTTTAAGGCAGGAATAATTTGAAAATAATATTATTGAAAGCTTATACTGTTCAAGAGAATCTATTGAAAAACAAGTAGAATTAATGAGCTTAAAAATGATTGAATACAGATGAATATGAAAGATCAATACCTTTCCTGTTCCCAACAATAACCAGTTAGAAAATAAATTATTTTAAAAGACACTATCAGAATAACAATAACAGTAACAAAATATCCATGTAAAATCTGTAGAACTATTCATTAGAAATATGCAGAACTTACATGAGGAAAACTTTAAAATTTTATTGACATAAAAGATTTGATTAAATGGAGTAATATATTCTATAGTCATCCGTATGATGATATTGTAAACATGGCAGTCCTTCCCAAATTGTTTCAGACATTTATCCTGATTCCAGTAAAAATTCTGGTTAAATTTCTTTATGCAAAAATAGGAAATGGCTCAGAACTTGAGAGCTTAGGTTTTTGAAGCTATCATGTTAAAAGTTGGAGGTCATATTCTTCTACACTCTTAAGCTCTTCATTGTACTCCTGCTCCTTCATGTCGCTACTCACTCATCTCCCACAGGCTTCCATAATTTCTGTCTGAATACATTAGAGGCTAAATTTTGCTTCTCCTTTGTTCCTATCTCGGAATGTGAAATGACCTCTTACCTGTCTTAGGTATTTATTATTATTTGTTTGAAGTAAATAGTAATTTTTATGTAAGCTTGTCCCTTCAAATTATTCAAATTAGACTTTAAGCTCCTTATGGGCAGAGTCAATTTCTTAATTATCTTTGTATGTTTCCTCCAAGTACCTACTACATGGCTTTGAACATAGTGGTGCTCAAATATTTTTAGGGTACTTAAAAATACATGTAATATGGAGAAAGTGTGCTTTAGAGGCAGACATTAGGTTTGAATCATGACTCTCTGACTTACCAGCTATTTGACCTATCTGGATTATTTCACTGATTTCAGTTTTCTTTTCTGAGGGATAGAAATAATAGCACTTCAATGAGTGGTGATGATTGATTAAAGAATGTAAATCTTGTGAATCATGCCACAGTGCTAGGTACTATGTGTTTAATATTAAATATCATCAGTTAAAATTAAAGACTAGTGAAAATATCATGATTTCTAAAACATAATTGGAATCAAAATAATATAGGAGTCATCTTCCTAGAAAAAAAATTAGCATTTGTCTACAGGTAGTTAATATAAACTATTAGGGTGTGTGAAAATCAAACAAAAAGACAGCATTTCGAAAGATGGTATATATTTTGATTAGGAAACTTTTGATTATCATAAAAAGGAACCAAATACAGGTAGACCAACATACCAAATAAAAGCTCATATAACTTAAAAGTCCATAGTAATCTGCTTTAGGCACAACTGGGTCACTGGCTTAACTGATGTCATCAAGACTATCCCTTTCCATTGCTCAGCTCTGTTCTTGTCTCTTTTTGGCTTTCCAATTAAGTATCATTGTGGCCACCAGCAGTTCTATCCAGTTTTCTATCTTTTCAGCTAACATCGAGCCTTTCTTTCCCACTGGTTCTAATAAAAGTCCCAGGATTGAGTGTCATTGTAGAGCCGTGAACCATTGTGGTCAGGAATGTCACATTTAGTGACAAATTGCTAAATGCTTCCTCCTAAAGTCTCACAAAAAGGGTTGAGGCCAGTGCCAGTGAAACTATAGTTGATTCTTAAACAACACAAGTTTAAACTGTGAGAGACCACCTATATACATTTTTTTAAATAAATACAGTATGGTACTGTAAATGTATTTTCTTATGATTTTCTTAATAGCATTTTCTTTTTTCTAACTTACTTTACTGTGAGAATATAGTATATAATACATATGACATACAAGATATGTGTTGATTGACTGTTTATATTATTGGTAAGGCTTCTGGTCAGCAGTAGGCTATTGCTAGTTAAGTTTTTGGGTAATCAAAAGTTATATGCAGAGTTTTGACTGCAGGGGTTTGGCAGCCGAACCCCCCACATTGTTCAAGGGTCAACTATATGGATTGAGTAGGGTTAGAGAAAAAAGAAGTGGTTCTGTAAAGAAGATGACGGGTCCTGTGTCTGTAAGAAATGGCAGTGGATGATGGGCATGGAAAAACAGAGCTATTATTCTTATGTTTAGTATCAGCTTTCTTTTAAGAATGAAGAATGTAGTCATGTTGTAATTTATGTGAGTACGTCGAAGAAAAATATACTTATGTGTAATAAGCAATTCTAAGTGCATTTCATATACATACAGAGTTAGCTGTTGGAAATTTTATTAGTCAAAGTAAAGAAAAAAGATGCTTTAATGAAGGACTTATATATATTGACGTATGTTTGGGAGGCATATATCTAACATCTTTTATTTAGTTTCACAATTTTGCTCACATGAAAACACATGAAAACTTTGTATAACAGTAAAAGATTACACATTTTAAGTATGCTTTATATTAATAATGAGATACGTATATAAAGAAATCTAAAATCAAATGAATTCTAAACACCAAGTACTGGTTATAAAATATTGTACTTACTGGACCTACTTACTATATTTATTTTTTTCTAAAGTTGTTCTTTTAAAAATATATTAATTTTATAGAAAAGGAGAAGGAATTTTTAAATCTGACAACATTTCTACTATATCCATCCTCAAAGATGTGCTGTCTAAAGAAGCTACCAAAAGGAAAATTAACCTCAACATATCATACGGTAAAAAAAAAAAAAAAAAGAAAAAGAAGAAAAATAAATCATTCTTTCTGTGGTACTGGTTTTTTGTTGTTGTTACAATAAGAATGTTTCTGATCAAAGTGACTTAGCTAATCATGCCTGGCTCACCTTCTTCTAGAGATAAATGAAGTATCAGTCAAACACACTTTAAAGCTAATCCACCCAAAGCTGGAGTACCAATTGCTTTTGGCTAAGAAAGTGCAATTAATTGATGCTTTAAAAGTAAGTATACATTTACATGGACTCATGATCACTACTTTATGGTGATGGGATTTCTAAAATTATAGACTTTAAAGTTACATGGATTTAACTTTGAACATTAAAGTCCTTTGTTTTTTATTTTAAATAAGGAATTGCAGGTTCACGAGGGAAATACAGACTTTCTGATACCAGAATATCGCTGTATTCTAGAAGAAGCAGATCACCTACAGGAAGAATACAAAAAGCAACCTGCACATCTTGAAAGACTGTACGGTTAGTAGACTATTCTAGAAAATCTTGCTATATTTCTTTTCTGCTGGCTATTTGTGAAGGATCATGTGAGAGAAGCTAGGCAGAAAGATAAGTGAAGATTATAAAAATCATGAACCAGTGACAACCAATTTATTTCATTGAATATTTTGTCAAATTTTTTAATTAATATTTTTACTTGACAAAATAAAAGTTAAGTGAAATACATGTAATGCAATAAATTAATCTGTATATGAAGAAATCTGGTGTGAAATGAATATAACCTATGAAGTAGGTTAAAATGTAGGCTGTATTTCACACAAATAATTTTTAGGTTATGATGATAATGTGAAATATCAAAATGCAACATTTAATATTTTTTAGACAAAATGTAAGGGGTATATATGTGCTGTCAATTTACAGTTGAAAACTTGTTTTGCTTTGATGGTGACAAGTTGGGTGTTTCACAAATTGTCTTGAAAAACATCGAGAGCAAGAGAGATATATAGGAAGAGAGAGAAAGGATAGAACAGCTTAAGGAAAACATTTTTTTTTTGTGATTTTTATATAATACCTATTGTGCAGAGCACGTTTCTTTATAATATCTTAATTAATCAGATATTTAATCCTTCCAACAGTTCTGCAAGGTAGATGGTGTTATTGTTATTTTTCACATTTTTTTTAAACTGAAACCTGAGACTAAAAAGTTTGTTGTCACATAGGTAGTAGCACAGCCTGCATTATAATTTCCTCATCCCAAAATGCTTGCTTTTTTTTTTTTTTTTTAAATGCTTGCTTTTTGTACTATACCAAATCTTCTGTAGAGTCAGTTGGTATCATCAATCCACACTGATCTTTGAGCCTGCCTAATGAATTTTATACCCAGGGACTTGCTCACAAACTATAACAATAAAATCTAGTATCTTAATATTGATTATATGGCAAACACATAATCTTTTATCCTTACAATAACTTAGAGGATGGGTGGTACAAAACCATCTCTTATCACAAGTTCCAAAATCTAGAATGCTTTGAAAACTAAAACTTTCATAAATCATTTGGCAGCAAATTTGACTTGATCTAAATTAATAATTTAACGATAAAACCTCACTTAAACTGACAATTGAGGTTATTTATAGTCATTTTTATTCTACTTAGTATGAATATTTATCCATATATTTTGCTGCAAAAACACTATTGTGTTTTTTTGGTTTTTAAAGATTTATTTAGTTATTCATGAAAGAACAAATAACACAGAGAGAGAGGCAGGGATATAAGCATAGGCTCCCCTTAGGGAGCCCAATGTGGGACTCAGTCCCGGATCCCAGGATCATGCCCTGAGCCAAAGGCAGAGGCTCAACCACTGAGCCACTCAGGCGTCCCACTATTGTGTTTTGTTTTCAGATGCTGCCGCCCATTTCCCTTGGATATTATGCCATATATGATGTATTCCTTTTATTATCTTTCTAAAATATGAAAAATTCTGAAACACGTCTTAGATAAATTCCAAGAATATCCATCATATTAATTGAATATTTTAATTCAAATAGAACTGTTAAGAACAAGATCTGTTGGGGTACCTGGGTGGCTCAGTTGGTTAAGCATCGGCTTTATCTCAGGTCATAATCCTGAAGTCCTGGGATTGAGCCCCAAGTGGGGCTCCCTGCTCAGCGAGGAGTCTGCTTATCCCTGTCCTTCTGTTCCTCCCCCTTCACCCTGTTCAGGCTCTCTTTTGTTCCCTCTCAAATAAAAATAAAATCTTTAAAAAAAAAAAAAACCGCATCTGTCTACATTTTGTCAAAATGGTCAGCTTGGGAAGAAAAATAAAACCACTTGCGATGTTACATATATACCAATAGCAGTTCACAGCATGTCAGCAGTTAATTGTCTGAATTTAGTAGCTTTTAACTAATAAGAGGATTACTAGCCAAATTATTTGATTTGAAGCTTGCCTTAAAATCCCCCCAAATAAATATTTTTAAAAATATCAATACTTTTAGTTTTGTATATATTTAAAAATGCAGTTAATGAGTGCTTAGAAATAGATTCTCAGGTATCACTTTCATTAAGAACTGTGTTAATTAGAACTAATCAATAACAAGAAATTAACATTTTTCTTTATAGGCATGATCACTGATCTTTTCATAGATAAGTTCAAGTTCAAAGGCACCAATGTAAAAACCAGAGTGCCTCTTTTACTGGAGATTCTGGACAGTTACGACCAAAATGCATTGATTGCTTTCTTTGATGCTGCATGAAATGTACACAAGGTAAAGTTCCAAAGAAGTTGTCTTTTTAAACGAAATATTTTAAAACAGAATTGTGGCACAAGCTAACTGTACTTACTTGTATTTCAAATGCTTTTTAATATAATCTAAAAACATTTAAGATGTGACTTCCTTTACTAATGCTTCTATTTTGAGAAATGGAACTTTTTAAAAATAAAGAGAATTTTTATTTTGGAACAAGTAGAATGATTATAAGGAATTTCAATGAACTTTTTGCAAGTGGATATTTTAACTTTTAAATGAGAAATATTTGGAAAATAAATTCAAATATTTAACAAGCTACACGCACATATAAGCTGCTTTACAGTTTTCAAAGTGTATTTACATATAGTACTTCATCTGAGCTTCACAATATATATTTATTGTTATTTTGTCAAGTCGTATAAGAAAACTGATTCTCTGTGAGGTTAAGTGATGAAGAGGACATGCTGTTGTTATTTTGTAAAGCTGGGACCAGATTCCAAGTTCTGGTGCCTGGTTTGTGTCCTGGTTACTATATAAGGACCAGTTATATATTGTTAACCAGTAAGAATAACTTACTAATTATTTTTTCTAGGAGTTGAGATTGATTTGCAACTGATTTTTTTTTAAGATTTTGTTTATTTATTCATGAGACACACACACACACACACACACACACACACACACACGCACACGCAGAGGCAGAGGCAGAGGCAGAGGCAGAGGCAGAGGCAGAGAGAAGCAGGCTCCATGCAGGGAGCCTGATGTGCGACTGGATCCCTGGTCTCCAGGGTCACACCCTGGGCCAGAAGGCAGCGCTAAACCACTGAACCACCTAGGGATCCCCCAATTTACAACTGATTTCACTCTTGCTAGGTAATGTTTTGTGACCCGTGCTCAGTTTGTGAGCTTGAGTATGCTCAGTGCTATAAATTTTGGCCAGGGAAATGAGCAGAGCTGCACAGATTGAAGGGATCTTCACTTGCTCTCCTGTAACCAGTGGAACTGTACAAGGGTACTACATGTGAATAGTGCAGAAATAGTGATGGCCTCTTAGATTTTCCTGCACTAGTGTCCACTGACTTGTTTTATCATGTAGAGAGGGAAATAAGACTTTTAAAGCTACAGAAGTTTTATTCACTAATGTTAATTCATGTTTCTTCATACTCAGGAGAATATTGTGTTTGAAGATTGTTTTAAAATGGCGTAAAGATTATATAATCATGTTTTCAAGAAGGGCACCCTCATGAATTTGTCAGAAAACAATGTCTCTTAATTCTTTACCATTATATTAATATATGCAAGCCTTGTTTATTAAATCTGAAAACTTGTTAAAGGCACATATCACTGAGAGTTTTATTTTAAAAGGTCATGTTTTTATTATATTCAAACAGCCTTCATCGCTAAATGGAACAAAATTCTGTATCTATGTCACTAGAAATTTCACTGGGTGCTTTTTTGTTGGCTGGCACAGCTGGGAAAAGCATCAAAATTAGTGACTGTCTAGTTGAATTTCTTCCAGTACATTACTGTTTGTTTATATATATGTATCAACAGTAGTTAAGGTAGCACCTACCTAATCACATCCTCATGAGGTGAATTCGGAAGCACGACTGAAGAACCCCTAAATGATAAATGACAGTACAGTCCACACTCGAGTATCAGTAAGCAAGCATGTTAATGATTTATGCACATTACATAATCACAACAGCCATACGACATGTAGCATTTTTAGCCCCAATTAATAGATGAGAACACTGAGAATCAGAGACTTGTCATCACTGGGCCCGCCTACCAGGCCGGTTCGCAGCTGGGTCGGATCCGAGCTTGGGAGACCAGTCAGTCCAGCCAACTGAGGGCCCCACGGCCAGCGTTAGGCAGGCGCGGCCACTAACAATTGCTGGAGTTTGACTCCGTCGGTCCTAGAGACAGCCGTGGCCCAGCACCCTCGGGTCACCAAGTGGCCCAGTTTAAAGTCACTAGAAGTTCAGGCCCCGCCTCTTTGGCCGGCGCAGGCGTTTTCCCTCCCGCCGCCTTTCAGCGTTTCTCCGCCCCCGCTCCGTGGCCTTCACGGCTTCCTTCATTTGTCTGCGACCGTGTCGCCTTGAGTGACGTCACGGGCATCGGCCCTTCCCATTGGCCCATTTCAATAGTCGCGGGATACTTGAACTGCACGAACAGCCGCCGCTCCGGCGGGCTGCTCGCTACATCTCGGGGGCGTCTTTAGCCCTCCACGCCCGGCAGTTCCTGCCTGAGCCTTTCGCAACGTCCTCGGAGCTGCGCGATCCCGAGCGAGCAGGCTGGCCCGGACTGCCGCGGGCGGCTGCGGCTGGAGCGTTTCTCGGCGGGGTCGGCGGGACGCAGTACACGCCGCTTGGCGCCGCAGGCTGATCCCGCCGCGACCCGGGAGCAGTGATGTTGGGCAGCTCGGAGCCTGGGCCTGAGGCCCGCGAGGCGGGCTCGTCGCTGCTAACGTTGCAGCATACGGCGCTCCAAGAGGACCAGGAGAACATCAACCCCGAGAAGGCGGCGCCCGCCCAGCAGCCCCGGACCCGGGCCGGGTTGGCGGTCCTGAAGGCCGGGAACCAGCGCGTCCCAGCGCCGCAGCAGAGGCCCAAGACACGGCGGGTAAAGAGATGAACGATATCTGCAGGCGAGGAGGGCCGAGCGGGAGTTTTGCACGAGGTTTAAGCAGGCCGGGGAGCGTGGCGAGAAAGCATCTTCCGAGCTGTTGTAAGGGAGGCCTGGGTCTGCAGTCCCCTTGATGCCTAGTGTTGTGGCGCGGGGGATGCCACGTAAATCTTTCCCATAGCTCTCTTCGCTAGCGCTGTGTGTTTTGCTGCCTGTCTGCTCTTTATTTGGTATATTTTTCGATAGAAAATGAGGGTCAGACCGAGCCCCGCGACGTATGTCCGCGCTTTCCTCGCCGCTTTAAACCCCAGGCACTGCCCTAGGATCTGGACCCCCTTCCTGCTCGCCATTTGGTTAAGATTACCTTTACTTTAGGAAAGAGTATAAAAAATAATTTGCTTTTATTAAATTCCGCCATTTTACCGGCTTTGCTCTGTTGCTCCACCCTGGGGCCAAAGCGGTGAACCAACACCTCTTTGCCGGCTCTCCTAAACTTGTCATCATTCAGCCTGCCACCCCACTCATCTTGTGGCCTTGATTAGTTTTGCATAAATGCATTTAGTGTGAGTCTATAACTTATGTAGAAATGCCGCTAACGAACTTGAACATCCCTTTCTTCAGCTATTCAAACTTTACTGCCTGGATTTTGTCCTAGATAGTTTAATTTCCTGAGAGTATTTGGGAGTGAAAACAGAAACTGAGAACCGTAAGGGGAAGAAAGCAAGCAGAACTCCATTTAATAGGCTCAAAACTAGCTATTCATTTCTTTTTAGGTTGCACCTCTTAAGGATCTTCCTATAAATGATGAACAAGTCACTGTTCCTCCCTGGAAAGCAAACAGTAAACAGCCTGCATTTACCATTCATGTGGATGAAGCAGAAGAAGAGACTCAGAAGAGGCCAGCTGAATCTAAAAAAACAGAACATGAAAATGTCCTGGCTTTTAATTCAGCTATTACTCTACCTGGACCAAGAAAACCACTGGTACCTCTTGATTATCCAATGGATGGTAGTTTTGGTAAGTTTTAAAGAACATCTGTATCAAATCAGTGTAATCCTAAAGTGATTATGGATTAATGATAGTTTCATTTTAAGACATTATTTTACCTGACCCTTACTATATAATGAATTTGATGTAACGTAACAAAGTTTAAAAAGGGTATGATTCATCTCCGATCTCACAGCTCATACATTGACCTAGTGACCTATAAATCCTAACTGGGTGCTCCTTCCTTCCCATATTACTGCCAATCACATCAATTTAATTAGATCTCAGACCCTTATTTTAATCTGACCCTGGAAATGTTTGCCTGCTTGGGAGAATAGATTTGAACCGTATTCATAAAACTCACTTTGTACATACCACTTGAGAGTATTTGAATAGGATACAGCTTTCAATATTGTGATATCTAACATCTCTTACAGTTTAAAATTTTCTGTAAATCCAGTCCGATACCAGAGAGGGACACTGTCCTCCTGTGAGGCAAGAGTTGAATCATGACTGCAGCTAACCACATATAAAATGAAGTAGCTGCTATAAAGCAAGCTCTGCCAACAGTTTATGCGTGCAACTTCTTTACCATATGTAGGTCTGTTGAGTCACTGGATAATTCATTCGTTTCATCTCATTTAGGTTTTAGTTCTGTTTTGAGAAGTGGTCTGGGAATAGCAGGAAAATCCTTTGGAAATAAAGTAATTTTTGTATTTTTATTGAAAATTTATAACAAATTTTAACCTCACAATGAAACTTGAAAAGAGTAATGAATGGTATTCTTTGCCTCAAAAAGTAATTTAAAATTACAAAACATGAAACATTTGGTGATTATAGTGTTAATTTGTTTGAATTGCTCATAACAAACCTAATTTTAATTAACATTAACCCTGCTTTTAGTTATTGCTACATTGTTCTTTGAATATGTCAGACTTTGGGGTCAGCACTCTTAGGGTAAATACTACATAATACCACAAAACTTGGATTTTAACTGTCTTTGCAGAATCACTGTACCATTTGCTCTTCTCTCATGGAATATGATTGATACTTAAACATAATAATACATTTTCAAGCACACTCTTTTAGTGGCCTAGCAGTATTTTCTCTTGTTGATTAAAACCAAGTGGACTGGGGATCCCTGGGTGGCTCAGCGGTTTAGCGCCTGCCTTGGGCCCAGGGTGTGATCCTGGAGTCCTGGGATCGAGTCGCGCGTCAGGCTCCCTGCATGGAGCCTGCTTCTCCCTCTGCCTGTGTCTCTGCCTCTCTGTCTGTCTCTCATGAATAAATAAATACTTAAAAAAAAAAAAAAAAAGTGGACTGAGGTACTAAAACCAGAGTGAAATATTCTGTTTCTTTGCCATGAGAAGCTCTTTTTAGTTGGATGAAATAAATGCTTTTGAATGGGATGCCTTACAAAGCCAATCAGTTTGGCTATTAATTAGAAAATTAAACTGTGAACTTAATCTTACTTTTATATTCTCCCAGAGTCACCACATACTATGGACATATCAATTGTATTAGAAGATGAAAAGCCATTGAGTGTCAATGAAGTTCCAGACTACCATGAGGACATTCACACATACCTTAGGGAAATGGAGGTAACAGCTCTGGAATCCAGTTTTTATACTGTTATTCATTGTGGCAAAGTGAAACCAAGAGGATGTTTTTAAGTTTTTTAACTGCTAGTGGATTATTCCGTTGTATTTAGGTTTCTGGTATGTAGCATCTTTGTTAATGGTAGAATAATCTAATTGTAATTTTAACATTATACTAAGTAACTTTCTCAACAGGTTAAATGTAAGCCTAAAGTGGGTTACATGAAGAAACAGCCAGACATCACTAACAGTATGAGGGCTATCCTTGTGGACTGGTTAGTTGAAGTAGGAGAAGAATATAAACTACAGAATGAGACTCTGCATTTGGCTGTGAACTACATTGATAGGTTCCTTTCATCGATGTCTGTGTTGAGAGGAAAACTTCAGCTTGTGGGCACTGCTGCTATGCTCTTGGCCTCGTAAGTCCAACCTGGTTTGTTGGATTAAAAGTGATTGATAACTTCTTGTGTAGGGAAGAAGTTGTGATTTTTAACATTGTGACATTTTAATATACACAAGGCAGAGAGTGACTACTTTAAGGGGTAGCAGTATGAAACAGAGTAAGAAACTAATTTAGGACATTAATTTTCCCAGATCTAGATTTCAGGGAATTTTCTTGAATGAAGATGGGAGACGGGCTACATTTTAATATGCTAGGACTAGATTACCAAGTTTAAAAGTGGTTCCTTCCATCAAAAAGTACTTTCTGGCATAAAATCTTCTCACCATTAAGACATGGAAACTAAATTCAAAAACTAAAAATGTTTATTTTTCTAAGAATTTCCTAAATTTTTAGTTACTTGGTGAACTCTGGCATTGTGGTGGAGTATAGGTTTTGGATTCATTCCATGTATTCTGCTAAAGGGATTTCAGAATTAGATAAACAGCTTGCTTCTCTTTTTGGAAGAACTGATTACTCAAAACTTTTTTCATTGTAGAAAGTTTGAAGAAATATACCCCCCAGAAGTAGCAGAGTTTGTGTACATTACAGATGATACCTATACCAAGAAACAGGTCCTGAGAATGGAGCACCTAGTTTTGAAAGTGCTTGCTTTTGACCTAGCTGCACCAACAGTAAATCAGTTTCTTACCCAATACTTTCTGCACCAGCAGTCTGCCAACTGCAAAGTTGAAAGTTTAGCAATGGTAAGTTCTTTTCATTTTGTTGAATGAAGATTTTTAGGTCACACAGTTTAATTACATAGCTTTGGTCAAGGGATTTAGTATTTCAGGGACAAAGTAGTGTTGCCGCATAAAGAGAGCCTACCATTGGCAAAAGAGAACATGAATTGGGAAAGTACCAGGAGTATAGTGGTATAAGGATGAAGTCTTAAGAAATGGTAGCCAGAAGAGTTGTTTTAAAAATTATTAAAAGAGGAAAAAGTACAGGATGAGAATGGAGCAAAAAACACGAAGATAATGGATGCTATGGGAGGTTTTTTTCTTTGGTTGCCATAGAGCCAGTCTTAAAGAGTGGAAAATGTTAGGGCAGAAGGCAAAAATTTGAGGTTTGAATTCTAGAGCTCTTATAATCATCAAGTGTATTTACTTTTTCATTCCAGTTTTTGGGAGAATTAAGTCTGATCGATGCTGACCCCTACCTAAAGTATCTGCCATCAGTTATTGCTGCAGCAGCCTTTCATTTAGCACTCTACACAGTCACAGGACAGAGCTGGGTATGTATTGCCATGCTTCACATGTCTACCTGGCAACTTGAATATTTAGGCCAGATAATAAGTTAGATAACTGTACAAGTGTTGGTGGTCTAGAGGTACCTACCTGGAAAAACAGTTCAAAAAAATCTAAGCTGCTTAAAGTTTACCTGTTTAGTGTAATATGTTTGTTACACAGAAAGCTTAGTTATTGCTTGGATTTGGAAGATGTGACCTGCTACTGACAGGTAAAGTAGTAAAAATTGATCAAAGTCAGCATAAAAGATGGATTTACAGCTTGAGAACACTAGAAGATTTGTTAGTTGGAGGTGTTAGTCCTAAATTTTATGAAATTCAAGCTTAATACCAACTACTAACTCATTGTGTTTAGTGTTGCTAAAAACAAAACTCAGTGGTTCTCTACTCCTTTCTCTGCAGCCTGAATCTTTAGTTCAAAAGACTGGATATACCTTGGAAAGTCTTAAGCCTTGTCTCATGGACCTTCACCAGACCTACCTCAGAGCACCACAGCATGCACAACAGTCAATAAGAGAAAAGTATAAAAGTTCAAAGTAAGAATTAATATAAATAGGTATTAAAGAAGCTTGCTTTTCCTGGCTACTGTAGGATTCTGAGATCCTTGACATTTTATCAAAGGATTCAAAAGAGGCACAGCCTCCTCTTAGCAGGCCAACTGTTTTGAGCAAGTTGTAGTTAGAGGCTTTATGTTCTCCATTTGAGGGAGAGGAGGGGAGAGGAATGGGGCATGCATGCATGCTTTGTGGACCAGTGATTTAATAACCATTAATTCAGAATAGAAATAGCAGTTTTGAGTTCCTAATTACATGTATCATTCCATGATCTTATCTGATGAACATTTACTGTTTTTTCCTACTTACAGGTATCATGGTGTTTCTCTCCTCAACCCACCAGAGACACTAAACGTCTAACAGCGAAAGACTGCCTTTATTTTCTAAGATGTAAATCACTCAACGTATATGGTGTACAGTTTTTGTAAGGTTTTAATTTTACAATCATTTCTGAATAGTTATGGTCAAGTACAAATTATGGTATCTATTACTTTTTAAGTGGTTTTAATTTGTATATCTTTTGTACATGTAACTATCTTAGTTATTTGGCTAATTTTAAGTGGTTTTGTTAAAGTATTAATGATGCCACCTGTCAGCACAATAAGAGTAAGAATAAATAGATTTGGAAAATTTGGTTTGTAAGTCAAATTGTTTTGACTTTAAGATACCACTCAGAAGAATTAATGTGATTTACTATAGAAGGGGACTGGGAAGGCTTCTCTTAAAATTAAAAATAGTTTTAGGGAAACATTGAAGTTTTAATATTCAGTTTCCTAAGCAACTGGATCAATTTTGTGACTTGAGCATAATCTAATAAGCATATCTGGAATAAATCTGTGCTTATTTATCGGTTGTGATGATCCTGAGAATCTTTCCGCCCTTTGAACACACTATGAAAGTGCTTTTTCTTTCCTCAACTTTTACACTTTACAATTATTTAAAACCTGTTGTCCAGAAGGTTAATATTTTAAAGCATAATGTAAAACGCTATGTAAAGAATCAACTAGATTTTATAATGGATTTGTGAGCAGAAAAATACCCAAAGTTATTAGCACTGAATAAATATCCTTTTAATAGTTATATATACAAACATACAACTCCATGCACTTCAATTAGCAGCTCTCTTCTTTTTTCTCTTTTTCACCGGCTTTTTACTTGGTGCTTTTTCTTGTTTTGCACTGATGGTTTGTGTTCTGTGAATAAAATAAATTAACAGTTTACTAACAGTATTAGCATTATAAAGCTGAGACCATGGATGGTTTACCAGACTTACACCATTTGCTCATTAAATTTTGGACCACCAAAATAGGAGGCCTTATTTTTTTTTCTAGTAGAACATACAACATTTGCCAATTATGAGAATAAAATGAGGTAACTTTTAAGGCATCCATCCAGTTTTTCAGTAAGAACAGCTGGAATTTGAATAAAATAGGGGTGTCTTTGTTTATAGTAGGATGAGAATAAAAAAGTCTTGAGTATGTGTATACATTTGAAATAAACCAGAAATTTGTTACCTTATTTTCTTTGGGTTCTTGTCTGGTTCTAAAATGATCATTTCTTCTTCTTCACTGTCTGAGAGTACTATAGGGGCATCTTTAAGAAAATAATTAAGAAATTAAGGAAACTATATAAGTATATCACGTGGAAAATTTCTACATGGGTTTATGTCAGCAGTTCTGATACTCTGTTTGCATACAAATAGCCCCAACTATTCTGTAGTTTATAGAACTACTTGGTTCTTTCCTTCCCTAAAGTAACTCCTTGGAGCTCTGAAAAATAACATACTTCTTTCCTAAAAATTGTGTAATTATAGGACTACTTTGTACATGTCATAATGGGGCAAAATCTATGTTTCTATTCTGGAAGGAAAATACAAAAAAAAAAACCAGAATTATTGGGTCAAAGGTATATACATTCTAAAAAATTTATTGCTAAATCCACCCAAAATACTGTTCCAATTTAAATGAAAAACCTGTTTTTTCTATATGCACCCTTGCCAATGGTGGTTTTTAAGATTTTATCTACGAGCAGAGGAAGAGACTCTGAACTGAGGATGAAGTCCCACATGGGGCTTGATCCCAAAACCTGAGTCAAAACCAGTCAGACTTTACCTATTGAGCCACTAGGTGCCCCAATTTTTAATATTCTCTGATAGAAATCTCTGCTTTGAATTTATTCTGATAGTAACTAGAAGTCTCTGCTTTGAATTTATTTGTTACCACTAGAGTTGCCCATTAAATATTACTGGCCATTTATATCTGAGAATTACTTTGTATCATTTGCCAATTTTTCTCCTGAGCCTTAATAATATATATACAATGTGGATTAGCCCTCTTCCTAGTTGGCATATCAATTCTTTATAGTTTTCAGCTAAGTTTCTTTTTAGTGTTTATATGCTTTAGAAAGACTTTACCTGTTTTTAACCTCCCAATTATCTTAGGTCTACTTTCATTCAGTTGAAAATATTACTCTTCCAAGCAGTAATTGAATGTTTAGCTATTAATCTTACTAATCTTAGAAAAATATTTCAAAAATATGTAAAAAGAGGCCTATGCAAAGATGCTTTACTCTAGCACTGTAACAGAAAATGGTAACATTTATCAACGAGGGAATTTTATTAAGCCAACTTAGTTAATGTCAAAGCTAGAATTCAATGCAGCATTTAAAAACGTGGCTGATGACATGAAAAAGTTCTAAGGATTCATTCACAGTCCCTGTGTTTAAGCAGCTTATTCTGGTGTAAATACACAGTAAATAAATACATGGAACAAGGTCTGGAAGAATAATACCAAAAGAAGTAACCATTGGGAAAGCTGAATAAGGCTCCCAATCAATGGGGATTATTTTTCCTCACAAAACACCCCAGCAGGGCAGCCCCAGTGGCTCAGCGCGGTTTAGCACCGCCTTTGGCCCAGGTCATGATCCTGGAGTCGGGGGATCGAGTCCCACATCGGGCTCCCTGCATGGAGCCTGCTTCTCCCTCTGCCTGTGTCTCTGCCTCTGTCTCTCTCATAAATAAATAAAATGTTAAAAAAAAAAAAAAACAAAACACCCCAGCAGCCTCTCAGTAATGTTTATAGATAAGAACTTATTTCCTTGAAGGTAGGCAGGTATGTGCATTCCATACCTAAACAGTATCACCTAATTTTTTTCAGCCAGATTTTAGTAATTACACCCTTTAGTTCTCTGCCAGCCTACTTGCTACATCCAACCTTGTAGGATAAATTTTACCACATAAAAAAGGCCCAATTCATGATTATTATGGGCTAAAGCAAGAATTTGGTTTTACTAACAGTAAAAGTTAAAACAATTTTCTCCAGTTCTACAGCTTTCAGAATGCAAAGAATATCTTATCCAGGACTACCAGTATTCCAAGCAATTCTAGAATTTTGTATGTTCTAATACTGCTCTATTAACAGCCATACATGGCTGTTTACTTTTCTATTAACTAAAATTAAGATTTAGAATTTTTCTGTCACAAACCACATTTCAAATGTTCAATATCTGCATGTGGCTAGTAGCTATTATACTGAACAGTGTACATAAAGATTTCTAACATTACAGACAGTTCCACTTGGACAGCTCTAATACATGTTATATGGGCTTTTTATATTTGAGTCTAGAAACTACAAAGAGAAAATAGCATGCAGGAATGAATCCTTAAGAAACCCATCCCTTTAAAACTGGCCAGATATAAAAGGAAAAAAGAACAAAACATTTTTAAACTAAAAATGCCACTACATACAAAAGAGTACCACTACTCCACAAAGATAAGCACATTATTTTAGAAAAGAATTGGGGTTAAATATTAACAGATTCAAACCACAAAATATTTAGCTCCTCTGAAAAAGGAACTGCTAATAAAAGAGCTGTAGTACACATAATATATTACATAAAAGCCATAAATAAAGCGTTACCTACCTTGGCTCCCAATATTGGAGACTTCTACTCCAATGTCCATTTTTATAGTATCAAGAATGATAGCTTCATCAGTGCCATCTTCATCCTCCTCTTCCTTCTCAGACTCTTCAAGATCACCCCAGGAGTTTTCTACTCCCTCTCCGATTTGGGCAGTTCCAGGAGTCCAAAGCACAGGATTAGAAACACTTAACAAGTTAAGAAAACTATGAATAACAAATGCTGTGATTTAATGCAGTGTTGAAAAAAGATGAGAGTAAAAGTTTTAAGACTGAAATGTGCATCATTTGTGCAAAATTTCACTAATAGCTGCGCTATGGATGGCTGAACAATGAGAAAGAAAGAAAAAACATGTAACTAAGGTAAGATTTTATGGAAACAATGGTGAGAAATACTGAGACATACTGGCTCTCAACAGTTCCAATCATAAATCTGGCAAGTGTATGAAAAATTTCCAAGAACAATGTGTAACAGTATATATAATGCTTGATTATGCCAATGAGATTAAATAATTTTCCAAAGGAAAATAAAATGCTGCAAATTGGCTAAGATAGAAAATTTTCTGTTTTTGTAGGATAGATGAAGAGGTGGATATTATGTCAGACTTAAGACTAGTCACTATCTTGTATCTTAAATGTGTTCTCTATCAAAGCAGTGTTTCAGAAGGTAAACCTCAGTATGTACACCCTTCGCCTATACCTAATACTGCCAAAAGTGTTATGAATCATGTTACTGAAAAAATCATCCAATAAAGATACACTTCTGAAGGAGGTTCAGCTTCAGCAATAATTTCTTCTGCTTTCTCTTCTACATCGGAGGTATCGATAGGGGCCTTCTCCATTTTAAATGCTGTGATTCTTTGACTTGCTATGGACTCTGCAAAGCCAAATTTTCCACCTTCTTTCCTGTGTGGGTTTTATTTGGGAGTGGGAGGCATGGAGGAGGGGGGTATGATAATGGAAGAGAAAACAGGAAGGGAAAAGTTAACTATTTCATCCTTTTGATGGAGGAGAAACATTGGAAAAAAACTAACTTAACCTCACCAATTGATTATGCTTATCAAAAGTAATAATTAAAAAGAAAGTTACTATAATCACCATTTATTGAACCATGTGCCAAGCAAGTGTTAAGTGCTCTAAGTATATTATTCTTTAATCCTTAAATCAGCCCTACCAAGTAAGTCTTATTTCAGAAGACTTGGAAGTGCTACGTTATAGAAGCAGCAGAGTGTCAACCCACTTTGTGTTTCTTCTGTTAATTTGAGCTACCAGATCCTTTTTTTTTCTGAAGAAAATACTTTTTTTAAAGAAAAATATTTGGCTTCTCAATACAGACTATATTTAAATTGGAATACAACACTTCAACTTAGATTAACAGATAAGGAAAAATGGGAGTGCGAAAATTATATTGTTACCCTTGTGCAAGAAAAGTCCATAACAGAAAAATCTGTTAAAAATAAAAAGACCATTTAGTTTTAAACTTACCTAACTTTCTGGTCATTCTCCAAAGCCTTCTGTATTAGCTCTGTAATTTCCAGTACTTTCACACCAGCTATTTTACTACATCTCAAAACCTATTTATAAAAGCGCATTCTGTTATTTAAAGACAACAAACCACACAGCTTTCTCTAACGAAGCTATAAACATGAGAATAGTTTTTCTACTTTTAAAATTTAAGCCTGACCTTTTCAAATATGAAAATACAGTATAAACAC